TAAATCTGGCGGAGGACTAGCTCTCCCTGAGACACGAAAATATGCGTTCAAGGACGTATGCTGCCGCCCAGTGCCTCTTGGCCCAAGGTCCCTCCCAAAGCTGTGACCAGAAATCAGGGAATTGGAAACCTCGACCTCTTTTGGGATGCCCGAAATACTGTGGATGGACGAAATCCCCCAAAAGCACCCCAAGACGCCCTACAACGATGATTCCCCCTGTAATTAAATACGAACCAGGAATGGTTTCTCATGGTTTCAAACCGGTGCAGGACGTCCTCCATGTAAAGAATTAAGACGGATATCCGCACCTATTTATGGTTGGTTTCGTCCCTTACTAACCGGATCATCTACCCGAATCGGCTTTGAGCGAGTGACTCTTTTGAGATGCCTGCCATAGGCCCAGCACTTGCCACGGCCCAGGTCTCCCGTCCTGCTGCCCTTCTCGAAACCCAGCGCCGCCGCGTCCCGGTGCGCCGCCGCCGGCTCGGCAGGCGCCACTTCGCTGTAGTGCTGGTGCCGGCCTTTGCTCGACGCAGAACCCAAAAAGCACCTGCAAACCCCGTGAAATGGAGCCAAAAAGCAGAAACCCGTGTGGAATGGATTGGTCTGACTCTTTGTGTTCTCTTGGTCTCCCTTTCAAACCAAAAGAGGCCCCCCAAAAGGCCAGAAACACAGACATGCTGTTGGAACGCACGGGGTGAAACCATCCGTGGCCGCGCCAGGGAGCTGGCCTACAGCCCAGTAGTCAGCCACCTGACAGCTGAAGACTCTGAAATGTAGCACTGTGGCATGGATCTGCGCAGACAGGGGGGTCTTTTCGCCGCCTTTTCTGAGAAAATGGGTGACTTTCTCAAAAAGGAACTACGAGGGGGTCGAGCAATTGTCCGCAAAAGGTGGCAAGAAGAATCCGTGTCTGCGCAGATCAATTTTTCGAAATCCAAAGTCCAAAGCCCCCCTGTGCCTGGACCGCTTGACCGCTGTCCCGCCCTGGATCTTTGAATGCCCCAAAGAACGCCTCCCTCCCTCCCAAGTCCGACTGTGCCTTTTTGGTCGTGTCTGGGCCGCCGGACCCCAGCAGAACGGCTGTAGTTCCATTGGCCCATGAAGATCTCAGCTTCACAGTCACCGCCGAGTCTCCGCACTTCGATGTCTTGTCCAAGCAAAAAAAAGCTGAATAGAAGGGATCAGAGTTGCAAGGGTCGGGCTGCACTAGCGACGGGAGCCTCAAACGCGGACCCTGGATCCGAGCTTCCGAGAAACGAGACCTTCGAGTGCTGCTCTCTGAGGCAGGGGCCCCAGCAAGCAACGACACGAGGCCTCAGCCAACAGAAGGGCTTTCTGGTCTGCATCGAAGATGCCTCAACCCCTTGAAAACTCGTCACCATTGGAAGCCAAGCAGCTCAGCACGACCACCAGGCCGTGCTTCCTGTCAATTGCCGCTGCCGCCGCCTTCCCGTCTTAGGCTGACAAACAGTAGGCAGCTTAGGATATCCTGCAGAACTTGCACTGGCTACTTGGCTGCAAGCGTGAAAATCTTGGCTTGTAGGCCAGAGCCCACGGGCGGTTCAGGATGGTGTATTGTGCAACACTGGGTGTCACGTCCTGACCATGCAACAAAGCAGGTCAGCGACTGCAAAGCAAACAGTGAGGCATCTTTACTTTTGAGTTTGCGAGTAAGAGAAACACATGGGTCTGAAAGTAGGATGCTATCACGTGATTCGCCGTAAGTTTTCAACCTTACACGGTATAAGTTGCACTGATCGGTGTAGTTTAAGTGCCTTCAGAAACAAACAAATTGTCTGCCAATCACAAGTTTTAAACTTTACACGGTAAAGTTGCAGAGACCGCTGTCGTCTTTCTCGCTTTTTTTCTTGTTCTTTTATCCGAAAGAGGGATGCGCTCTTCCATACTGGCCCCTTGCCTAAGTGACAAGCTCGACTCGGCCAGCCTTGGGCCTCTGCATTGCCAGCAGTGTGCAAAGGCACATCAGCGCCCAGGTACAGAGCAGCACGACTACAAAGCTGGGTAGATGCTCATAGCCTCGGTGGGGGTGCCGCACAACAACACGGGATTTGCCGAGGATGTGTCAAGCAGGCGGCATAGTTGCTACAAATGGGTATGGGTCAAAATGAATCCACCAGGGGACCGCAGGTATTAGCCCTTGTTTCCATTTACTAGGGTACCATTTTGGGTACGTATTCTTGACCCACAGCCAAATCAGTGGAATGCTGGCAGGTACGTCGGGTGTTTCTCTGCAATTCTCAAGTCATTCTGCTCGAAGGGATTGCCATACTCGGCCATGCTGAATTGGGTACCCCCAGTGAACATCCCAATCCAACCATTAAAATAGGCTCTAACATGGGTGAATTCACCTACCAACCAAAATGGGATGCCAAAACGGTTTTGACAACCACAGCCAATTTGGGCCCACGGGTTTTCTGCCCGAGGGACAGTAGAGGAAGAGCCAGCCAGCTGCCATGAAGGTGAGCCAAGGCATCATGGCCACCCGCATGGCCTCCTGGCTCCAACCGAAGTGCATTGAGCTGCATGGCTGTGGCTCAAAAACATGTACCAAATGGCACCTCGTTAAATGGAACCAAAGACTAAAACCTGCGGTTTGCCCTAGCTCTTGAGTTTTGAGCAGCCACATGTTGTGCAGCACAAGCACGAACTTACTGTGGCACCAGCTAAGGACTAAGGCCAAGCTTTACCAAAAATCAATCCACAAAAAGCTTGATGCCGGCCTTGGCCTGAAGCCGGGGGATTCATAGTTAATGTAATTGTTATTATGTTTTTCTTGCCATCTCCAGCGCCTCTGCCTTGCTCTCGGGCGCCAACATCGCCCTGGCAAAGGGCTCAAGCGAACATGCACAATGCGCCCGATCAACATCCGTGTGAGGAACAACTCGCCGGATGGATGTAGCTCTTGTACAAATGTCCCATGTCTCACCAATTTTTCACCTGCATGCCCTCGCACTGGGCAATGCGCTAGAACTGGCTTCTGCATGGCATGGATCTTGCTACAATTACCCACAGCCCCCGAGGTTTGCCGTCACCCCCTAATCCACGCTTGTCCTGCCCGTGCCCAGGTGACTCGAGTTCCTGCAGCACGTGGTTCAAGTATGGCACCCTTTACTAGTCAAGTAGCAGAACTCGTGCAGCCATATTTGACACGTGGTGACCTCCGTTCTCTTCAGAACGTAGGGCCGTGGTACCGCGAGGGCGTGGGTGGCAGGCAGGTTCAGGGTTTTAGGTTTAGGGTTTAGGTTTCGGTTTGGGGCTTTATGGTTTTTAGGGTTTAGGTTTAGGGTTTTACGGTTGTTGGGATTTAGGTTTAGGGTCTTTAGGGTTTAGGTTTTAGGTTTTTAGGGTTTAGGTTTAGGGTTTTTAGGTGTAGAATTTTTGGGGCTTAGGTTTAGGGTTTTTAGGGTTCAGGTTTAGGGTTTTTAGGGTTTAGGTTTAGGGTTTTTAGGTTTAGGGTTTTTAGGGCTTAGGTTTAGGGCTTTCAGTGTTTAGGTTTAGGGTTTTTAGGGTTAGGTTTAGGGTTGTTGAAGTTTAGGTTTGGTTTTTAGGGTTTAGGTTTAGGGTTTTTAGGCTTAGGTTTAGGGCTTTCAGTGTTTAGGTTTAGGGTTTTTAGGGTTAGGTTTAGGGTTTTTATGGTTTAGCTGCGCTTGGCTTTACGAATCGTGACAAAGTAACAGCAGTGGCAGCGCAGACAAAATGCTTCAGGCGGGTCGGAGCTTCGTGATCTCCGGGTCTTGGTGTTGGGGCGTTGGTTCCGGGCGCCGGCAAACCTCAGGGGCTGGCCGTACAATTACCATCGCACAGGCGGATTGCTGCTGTGGACCCATGGGTTTCAAAAAAAAAAACAGGCGCAGTGCCCTTCGCCACGCCTGGCCACAACCAAAGGATCCTCCATGGCTCCTCAAACCTTGGCTCATGCACACATCTGCGAGCAAACCTGGAAGGTCCATAAGCACCGAAGGGATTCAAACATTTTGCGGAGCAACCAGCGAAAGTCGGACCATCTACCACATGACTGTTCATTGACCTCATTGCTGCTGTGGCGCTTCGTTGCTCGGTGGCGCACGCCCGGCCAGAGCCGCGGCGGCTTCGGGATGAATCGAGGAAGTCGTGTTGGGGGCAGACACCCATATTACGAGGGGCCTTTACATGGAGCCGGCAGCGTGAGGCTTTGGGATTCCCATGCGCCAGCTTTTAAGCCCACCAACATTTGCTTGCTTGCTCGTTTGCTTGCTTGGTTTGGTTTGGTTTAGTTTGGTTTCTTCCAATTGATTAAGAATATTGTATATTTCCCTTGGCTTTAGAGGGAATCTATCACTACTGAAAATATTTTCATTTGTCCCAGGGGGCTGGTCAACCTCGACGTCTGCAGGCGTAGCGTGACCTCAATGCGTCCTTCGCATTCCCCTCCCTGGGTTCAAGAGATTGCGGGCTCCTGCATTGTGAATACCACACAGCGCCACTTGCAGAACTCGCTACAAGGCCATTAACATGACGCATTCGACAAAACTCAACCTACTTCAAGCGGTCACCCTGAGATCGACAAAGATCAGAAACTCGTTCTGATAGAATTCGGCCCATGCGCGCGCTGCCTGTGTGCTGGAATCCATTTGGGCACTTGCAAAAGAATGAGACGGCTGGCATCGGCTGGCTGCTCTCGCTCTCAAACAGCAGAAAGAGCACCAACAAATTGTGGCTTAAGATTTCTTGCCAACCCAAAAAGTGCCGCAAAGCTGATTTGAAGCAGCAAATCAGTCGGAGTGTTTCAAGATACCGTTGACGCTGAGCAAAACTTGAAGTCTGAAGCAGCTGAGATACCAAGACCAGCGCCATTGTCTATGGCCGCGGCAAATGATTAAATGCGCATCATGCAGGCATCTCCATTTCGCGAACGCTGCAGCAACGCGAAAGCAACACTGCAGCAACTGAGTTCATGTTGTGCCCACGTCTGGCAAACTCGCCTTCCGAAGCCATGCCTCGGCCACGGTGGTCTAGAGCACCCCAGCTCCTCCCAAGGCACACGGGTCACCTGGCGAGTGCGCGAGTGCAAGTGCACCCATCCCTTAACTCCCAGCTTTGTACGCACCTGTTGGATGTAGGCTTCTTAAGAACATGTGCCTGCACTTCCGTGCTCCCATTGTCTTGACTGGTTCTATGAAGTAAGAAAGCTGCAAAAGCACAAGCCTGATACGGCAGTGCGGCTCAACTGAACGAAGACCATTTAGCAGTCCGGGTGATCGTCTGACCACCGACACGCTTCAAGACACGCCCAGCTTACGTCATCGATGTCCACGATGGGAAGCGATACTCTCGTAGATGCTGCAGCCCTGGCTTTCAAGCGCTAGTGACTTCAACGTCGGCGTAAAGCAAAACGGTACACTCCTCTAGAAAACGGCTAGAGTATCGCCAGCGTACCATCATTGCTTGCACGGCTGGTCTGCCACAGCTTCTGCCACGGGAAAGCACTCTGCTCTCCAATGGAACAAGATCACTGGAGCGAAAAACTGCACGCCTGGCTGCCGGCTTCGGGCCTGGCAAAGTGCCATAGCTCAAGCCCAACACCCGACCAGCTTCGGGTGACACTGCACCAAGACCCACATCGAGCCTCCGAATTTGCAACCTGCCTGATCCTTTGTGTGATGAACTTGAAAAAAAGAAAAACGGCTCTCTGGCAACACCTGCAGCGGAAACTCCAAATTTACTACCTGGCTGATCCTGTGTTGGATGAGAACTGGAAAAAGGGCTCTCTGGCACGAACTAGCGGTAAGGTGCGGACTAACTTCGCAGCGCTCCGGGCCGGGTCCAAAGCGCACCTGGTGGATACAAAAAGTGGCGGAGCACTTGGGGAGGCTCGGTTTTGCGGCTCTGAATCGTCGAATGGGTATGGGTCAAAATGAAACCACCAGGGGACAGCAGGCTTTAGTCCATGTTTCCGTACACCAGGATTCCATTTTGGGTACATAATTTTGGCCCACCGCCAAATAGGAAAACTGGTATTTCTCGTGCACACACAAGACAGGCTGGAGCCCTGAAGGAAGCCTATCGCATGCAGTGAGCCTCGCGGTTCGTGCAAGGGACTAGTCATCTATTCAGTTGGCACGCTGTGGGTGCGTCTACATTAGGGCACTTCCAGAAGCAAACCATCAGTCCAATCCAACAAATAGCCCGAACCTGAAGCGTTGGTTTTTGCCGTATGCAGCTTGCCAAAACGTACATGCTCCGTCAAACGAGCTAGACTAGTTCGATAGTCCGTGTCATAGTTCTGGTTTCCAGGCTCCATATTTGCTAGGTGTTCTACTGTGACATCCTGACAGCTCCAGGGCACCTTCCGGCGTCTTGCGCTGCGTCGCCTGGCCGCCAGATGTCAAGAGCAGCATGGGTTCTGTGTGCAGTGCCGTGCAAGTCTGCGGGTTTTTGTTACATGGCCATGGGTCAAAATCCAAATCGTACCCCCAGTGAACATCCCAATCCAACCACTAAAATAGGTTCTAAAATGGGTGGTGAATTCACCTAATTACCCCAAACTGGTACCAAAACGGTTTTGACCCACAGCCACATGTTCACTTGACGACCTGTCCAAGTCAGTGCGGCTGGTGCACAAGGCTTCCCCCTCCGAGCTCCAAGGACGCGCTTTGCCTGCGCGGCAACGGCGCCTGTGCCACCTCGGCCCAAGGCTTTGAGCAGAACCCACAGGCTGACTGAGGCCATGACTGGCCCGGTGTCTAGCGGCTCTGGCTCTGCCTGCCGATCTTGTTTTGTGAGCGCAGCGTGCCTCGGCCCACCCCTGCCTTCATTGCTGGCTGCTCCACATCCTCCTCCTTCTCGAGCGTTGGCTTCGGCTTTTCCTCCGGCAGCTCTTCCTTCTCCGCCGCCGTCCCGTCGTCCATCTCCTCCTCCACCTGACAGGCCAGAAACTGGCCTCATTATTTTACCATGGTCAAAGTCACCCCCGTTCAGTGGTAGGTTAAAGGGAAACAAACCCCTCTTCTGACTTTGATAACCCCCAAAAACCGTCGAAATAATGACCCCTGAGAAAAGTCGCAGATGCATCCTCTCTTCCCATGACCTGATCCCTTAAAGGCTCCTGGTATGGCTACGATGTCTAAATGGGGACGCTTTCCCTTACGTTGGATTTTATGTCCAGCCAGCGTGGATGAGGTTGTAGTCAAGCCATTTCTCCCCCATCCGCGTGCAGGGCTGGGTTTGCCTGCTCTGTTACCAGCCAGAGCTGCCTCTCGGTCCCCTACGAGACAGACTGCCCACGACTACTTTGCGGCAGCCGAAGTCAACATATCCAAGCTTCAACAATCAAGTTGTCGAGGAAGGTTGTAGCCTTGTGCGCCGACAAGTGCAATTCCAAGCTGAGATTGCTGAGATCTCTTCAAGCCCTATCGCCCAAAACTCGGGGTACGGGCTCTCATGACAATGACCGGCCAGCAACCAACTTCTAGCAACAATCGCCTGTTTCTGCTTTCAAATATCGCCACAGAAACATGCAACACCAGAAAGAGATATGCTCAGTGCTATGCGTCAGCTAATGGAAACTCAAGGGCCATGAGCGGGCACTGGAGAAACGAATTCATCCTGGAAGCACCTTGGGACCATCTGGTGGGGGGGCATCTGGAGGCTGCGCAGGGCTTGCCCGAGGTGCTAGTTTTCCGCCAAATACCCACTCTACGGCTGCTTGCGAATTGGCTGTGGGTCAAAAATAGGTGCCCAAAATGGCTTACCCTGTAAATGGAACCAAGGACTAAGACCTGCGGTCCCCTGGTTGTTGATTTTTGACCCATACCCACTTATCTTGTGCCTTACTTGTGCGCACCCCCCCGCCTCTTTGTCGTCCAAATCATAGTCTCCCCAGCGTTTCCGCGGCTCACTCGCCTGGCGTTCAGAGATTGCCAGCAGGCTGGACGAAAGGCAAAGGCTGCCCTGAGCTAGCTGCCTCAAAGCCCATTTCGACATAGACTAGCCTGATTGTTTGGAGGTTTGCTGGGAGGTTGGAACCTTTCACTGGTTCTGTGCTTCAAGGGTGAATTGCAGAGAAAGCATTGATAGACCCTCTTCTCGGAGGATCCAACGAAATGCGTGCTTATCGGGTAGTGATTCCTGTGCGCATCTGCATCAGCAAGGATCCTCTGTTGAAAAGGTCTGGCAGCCCCAATTCGAGATCGCAAGTCAGTGGAAGCAAAGCAGACTCTAGAAGTCATCGACTCCACTAACAAGACAAAAGAACATGTCAAGACAGAGCAGACTCCTCTGAGCCACATCCACAAAAGGCGCTTTCAACGCAACTTGAGCGGGCAGCCTACCGAGTTTGCTCCATAAGTTCATCATCCGCGTCGTGGCCTCCCGGAAACCAACATCTGCCTTGGACTCCTGGACGCGGAACTATCCCACACCGCCAGCAGACTCGGAATGTGTGCAAATGCAACCGAGCAAACAGTGCAGTCCTGAAGCAGTTGACTAAGTCAATCAGTTGGTTTCGAAAAGTGGAGCATTGGAGCATCCACTGTGCCTTGATCTTGGGCTTGAAGAATGAAGCCCTTGTACAAAGCCATTTCCGGAGATACCGTGACAAGTGAATATTTATGATCGTTTGGCTTCTGGACATCCTTGCACTCCTTGCGTTGGGGTTTAGTCGCAGCATGTTGGCTTGGTCGTGGCAACCACATCAAATTGCAGCAAATGGGGCGGTCAGGCACAGCGGGGCATTAACACTGAGTATCTTGCAGTGGCGTCTGCATCATGTACGTAAGGATGCTATGGGAGCGCATGCAATGAACCATCTTCTCGGTGTCTGCTGTATGTCTCAATGCATTGCAACTGTTGCTCGCACCTGCAATCTGCAAACACCATGAAAACTCCTGCTTGTGCATTGCGCTCCGCTCTCTGCTAGATGCGGTTCAAAGCGGAACGACCGGTCGTTGCACGCTTTATTCATGCTGCATCAGCAGCTGCATTCGCTTGTGCTACCAATACCCGAGATCAAGGCCGAGCCATCCAAACAAAGCTTCAGATTCAACACTCTGTGTTGCAATCTCAAGCCAGCAGGAGGATCTGACATGGTGATCATGTCCCAGTGTTTCTCCTTTCTGCCGCCAGCACAAGTGATTGAATCTCGAATCTGCTCCAAGACCCTTCTAAGTGCACCGTAGCGATGAACTCACCAGTAAAAGGTCACTCGTTGATGACCAAGTTGTGCCATGAAGTATCACGAAGGCATGAGCTTCTTGTACTGCTCAGCATCATGTAAGCGTTGGATTGGCTTTGTGACACGTTCCATGCCAACCTTTCCCACAAAGCCGGCCGCCCCGCCTCCGTGCCCAGCAAGGCACTGAGCCAAGCCTCGAGGGAAAGCTGCGAAGAGCTGGAGGCTTCAGGGGGCGATGGGCAAGCTGTTAGCTCATGACGCAAACAGCAAAATAGGTGCTTGCTTCCAGGACCTTCCAACAAAAGAACCCCGGCCTTGTGACCTTCCAACAAAAGAACCTCGGCCTTGGTTCATCAAAGACGTCTGATGAATCTGGGGCATGGTTTCTCTGTGTTGATGTGTCACATCCCCCTCAACGGCATGGGATGAGACAAACATGATTCGGTACGCCATGCCAAAGCACAATGGGATTTTCAAACAACTCTGCTTCTGCATTGTCCACACTGTCTTAGAGCACTGAGAAGGAGCTGTATCAGACTACTGAGGGCCTTCTGTTGATGCACCTAAGCAACATGGGTGCCACAGTTGCCCTCTTGTATGAAGGGTGTGCTACACTATTCACTCTCCATGCACAAACAAGTAAAACAAAAGGGCTGTCGCCTGCGCAATGTTTGCATAAAGTGGTTCCAGCCTCACAGATCAGTCTGTGCATCTGGTCATCCATAATACTCCATGGTCCGTGATGCTTGTCCATAGCTCAACAAGTAGGCTGCTCACTGGGAATGCTTTCTTCGTTGCATTCGCAAGGCCTCAATAAAGCTTCCGCTGCCAAAGCAAAACATTCAGCTCGATCCCGTAAAAGAGATCCCGTGTTCTCTTGTTTATGTGCTTTCGCGCAATGCCAATGGGGTGTCAATCAATGGGGTCAATGGGTTTGGGTCAATGGGGTCAATGGGTTGGGGTCAATGGGATCAATGGGGTCCATGGGTGTCAATGGGGTCAATGGGGTCCATGGGTGTCAATGGGGTCAATGGGGTCAATGGGGTCAATGGGGTCAATGGGGTCAATGGGGTTAATGTGGTTTTACACGGGTGGAAAGTGGGTGTCAATGGTCATTAGCAACGAGGCAAAGGACGCAACACTCTGCCGCGCCTCCTCCTCCTGAAGCTGCGGGTCCAAATGGCCTTGGAGCAGCACCTGGCTGTTGGTCCAAAGCTTGAAGAAGGTGTTTTGGATGTTTGGGTGCGGGCCAGTACATGCAATTCATCGGGTGTTTCTCTGCGGTTCTCAAGTCATTCTGCTCGAAGGGATTGCCATACTCGGCCATGCTGAATTGGCCATGGGTCAAAATCCAAATCGTACCCCCAGTGAACATCCCAATCCAACCACTAAAATTGGTTTTGACCCACAGCCACTTGATTGGGGACTTTGGTGGACAGTCGGGGAATATGGGAGTCGCATCCGTACAGTTTGGCCCAACAAGCCAACGCGCAACAACCAAGCCACCAATCCACAAAGCTAGCGTGCATTCATGTGACGAACTTTCGCTTTCAAGGCCCTTTCTGAAATGGGCAAAGATTTTCAACAGGGCACTTTTAACAAGTCGGTGGGTCCACGATTGACACGCTGAGGCCAAGGTAAGGCCATCAGAATGTTGAAATGTCCTGTGACTGCCAAACCGGCCCGCCTCTGGGGCTTCCCCTGGTCACGGGCTCCGAGAGAAACATTGAACTTCTCACCAAATGGTCAAGCAAAAGTTGCGTGTCTTCTGTGTCCCCGGTCGCTTCTGCGTGTTTTGAGCGGGTTGCATCTCTGCGCCTTCCGAATGGCAGAGTGCTGTCAATGGAGTGCCCCTGTCCCAGTCGCTCCACATCTACTGCCCCGAAGGCCGTGCCGGCTTCCGTAGCCCCGCCAACCCTGAAAATTACGCTGCCTGAAGCGAACAGCTCGAGCAGCTCGGAAATCGCATTGACCAAATGGCTACACCTTCACTTCTCCAGCCTGTGTTCTCGCCATCGGCCTGCCGAGCTTGACAGACCCCAGCTTCAAGCAGGGTCTTGCAATTTGTTGACGTCAGCCACCAACACACACACACACACACCCCTCTCCTCGTGCAGTGTGCTACTTTCACATCAGAAGTAAGCAACCCTGTTGAAGACCCAATCAAAAAAAACGCAGGGGCCATTTGTGCACATATGTCCAACACGACATGCTACCGCAAGCTCGAGCATGTTGGTTTGCGACCAGCTTCCTGAAGCGCCGCCCTGGGCCTGGCCTGAGCCAAGAAGACCCGGCCATAGGCACGCTGGAGCGCCTGACGCAAGGGAGCAGCAAGCCGAGGATCTTGGAGTCGAAACTTTTCGGCGCTGGAAGTTCGGGTTTCAACGGGAGGGAACCCAAGAGAGAAAGAAAACCCATTTCGTTGTCTTTTTTTGGGTGAGACAAGCCCACTAAAGCGAGGAAGCCCCAAGGCATCCCTCTGAGCTTTGGCAGCTTCGACTCAACCTGAATCAAAGGAACTAGGTGCGCTTTTCAGTGCCATGAGCTTATGGCGGTTCCCCCAGTTCGACTCAAGCCCACCAAAACAAGTGTTGCCTTCCCCACTCCCCTCGCTTGGGAACTAGCTTCAACCTGGGCACAGGCGCTCGGGCGCTCGGCGCAAAAGTGCCATGAGCCCATAGCCTCGGAGAGCAGCTGATGCCACCGCGCAGGCGGGAGCACCTGGATGGGTTCCAGGGCCTACCTCACATCTGAGCCACGAACCGAAACCAACGCGACAGATGGCTGTGGTTGTCAAAACCGGTTTTGGGATCCCATTTTGGTGGGTAGGTGAATTCACCCATTTTAGGACCTATTTTAGTGATTGGATTGGGATGTTCACTGTACGATTTGGATTTTGACCCATGGCCATGTTGTCCTCTTGGTGTCCCTGTTATTTTCCAACTAAAAAGGGGCCACCATTTTGAGAAAGCCCAATAAATATTCACGGGCCACCAGGACCTGCCTTGATCTGGTGCAAAAATGGGCAAATCACAAGAAGCACGCTTGACTGCATTTGAAGTGTCTAACAGTCTCTGCAAGCCTGGTGATTGGTGAACAAGTTGATCCTCTGGTGTGCGTCGTTCGACGACACGCGCACCTCTGCTGCCAGCCAACTGCCAAATCAAAGTCCAGTCTTTCTGAAAGTGCTTGTGCATGGTGACCAGCGTCAATTAAAAGCTATCTCTGAGGTACGAGCCGAAAGTTCCCAATAGACTCTCAAGTTTTACCAACACGGTCTATTTTCATGCCGCACACATCTGAAGAGAAGTAAGGATACAGCGCTCTCAACACGGGCACGCTACAACCACTTGTCCCAAGGCCAGATTTCATCTCGCTGGCTTCAATGCAGACCTGCTTCTCTCTGGTAGGAAGCACCTCGAAGCCAGGTCCGCAAACACCATGGTGGCACCTCCGAGCGGAGACTCTGCAAGCCCCGAAGCCCCTGCTTCAAGCAAGGGCAAAGAGCATCTAAACAGAGTAGCATCCCCAGATTTTGTCATCTGAGGCAAATCCAACTGGCCATGGGCCAAAATCCCACGCCCCCAGTGAACATCCCAATCCGCACAAAAGTTGAATAAAATGAGTGGTGCACCTACCCCACAATGGTACCAAAACGGTTTTGACCCACAGCCAACTGTATCTGTGAAAGCAACAAGATGGTATCGAGGTCACAGGCCTGGCGACTGTCTCCACGCGGCATTCGTTGGCTCGCAAGCTAATCCGGCTCTGCTTCCTGCCCAGCAAGGCAACACTTCTCCGTCTGCGTGGCAGGGTCGAGTGGTTGAATTGAGAGAGTTCAGGGTGACACAACGTCACCCACTTCAAACATCTCTGCACCTGACTCTCCATTGGGGACGAGGGAGTACCAGCATTTCAATGCAATTGTCTATGCTATTGATGCCACGCTTGAGACAGCACTGCACGGATGAAAAGATCATCTAAGGTGTCAGGGTCCTGTGCTTTTTCGCATTGGTGGCTTCGCGGACGTCAACTTTGGACACAACCTGCAAGCAGGTCGGCTTGTCCGTTTGGACAGAATGCCCGCTGGTCAACATGCATCACCAAGTGCGTCTGATGATATGCCCGTCTGAGCATTGCCATGATCCTTCGTTCCAAACACTTCTGCAAAACGTGCAAGTATGCAAGCACAAGCTTGGGCCTCGTCAGCCATCAGGGTCTTGCAAGCTGCCTGAACGCAGTGCGCGCAGCGTGCGCGCTTGCACAAATGATTTGGCTGATGGAGCGAATCAGCAAAGGTCTTGAGTCTTGACTACTTGAGGAGCGGGTGAACGAAAGCTAGGAGTTGTTGCATGAGATGGGTCGGTGACAGAGTGGATTCATAGGTAGCTTGTGTACAACGAGAGGCCCGGCAAGATTCGTAGGATGCGACACGCAAACGCACATGGTGGCGTGGCAAACCTTGAAAAATGAAAACAACGAGAGGCGTCAGAAGCTGTCTGCAAGCACCTCTGGGTTCTGCATGCTGCGTGTGCAAAGATTCTTGCGAGGTGGTTTACCGAGAAGACTGAGGTCTCAAATGAACAAGCTGAATCGGTGGAACATGTAAAAGTTCGTAGCACCAAGTCCAAAACGGGCAAACCGAGACTGCTGAACACTGAGCCACTGCCCGGGGGGGGGGGGATGGACCAGGGAGGAATCGAGCCTGAGACCCGGGGGGGGGGGAGGGGGGGGGGGTCTAAATAATTGATATTTTTCAATCTTTTTGGCTCAAATAATTGAAAAAATCAATCTTTCGGCATTTGAGCCCCTTACCTTGCTTACGCAAGGAGAAACTTCAGCTAGCTAAAGCTAGCTTTCGTGACAAGCCTGCCCTGACTCTGAAAAAAAACGGCATGCTTCTCAATAGCTGTGTTGATAAGCTACCGCCGTTCAATCGCAAAACCAACCGTCGAATCATGCGTCCAGTCCCTCCGCGTCCAGTGGCGCCTTGAACCAGGAGACCACACGTGCTTGGTCATCTCCTTCCACTCTTACCTCAAAGGACGGACCGCTTGTCTGACCCAGTTGAAGAAGCTGAGGGGGCGAAGCCGGTCAGCAGAAAGTGAAAGATGAATCCAGGTTGTATTGAGCGGGGAGGCATGCCAAGGCCTTTCGAGACCTGAATCTGCCTGAATCAACGAGTTTGGTGGATATACCGTTTCGTCTGCGTGAATTGGGCATGTCACAAAACGGGGACCCCTTGGATGAAGCTAGTTGTGTGTTGCGGCAGAGAGCGGACAATTTGCGTCTGTTGCTATTCGCAATGTATTTTGGCGGAAAAGAAGTTCACCGCTATCACAGATCGCTGTATACTAGAGGCTCCCGATGTTCGAGGGATGGGTCGGAAGCAACTCAGAACAGAAACGCGCCGACACACGCGTGGCTTAATTATGTACTACTACAACAATGATGTCTTGCTCGTGAACAGAACGGATGACACTTGACCCAATATGTGTGGCGTCCAACAAGCTGACACAAGGCATGGTATGACTTAAGCAAGCTTTCCAGTTTGGCTGCAAGCATGGTCTGGCAAAATCCCAAATGTTCTGGCACCAGCACATGGACAAGGATCAAGTCTAATGAGAGCTGCAACCAATTGCATTAACTTTGACGAAACAAAACGTCTGCTTCGTTCCACTCTTGTGCAACGTTCCCACATCATAATGAACATATTATATGGTAGTGAGCAGTCTATCGAAAACCATATAAAGAAGTTAAAGGGCGTTGTGGTTGGGGTGGTCTCTTCTACCCTTCTATTTACCTGGGTTTTGATTGTGGCTCGACTCAGCAAAACGGCGGTGGTGCGCCGCGTTGCGCAAATTAGCTCCGTGCACTTTGCAGGACCAGCTACCTGCTATTCTTCAACCATTCAGAAGCGCTGTCCCGATATCGCACTGTAGAACGAGTGCCTTTGGCGACTGAAAACCTACTATTTTTCGGGCTGCTTGCATTGTACCCTCGGCAAGAAACTCTATCCAGAAAGAATCTAACTACCCAGTCCGAAAGAATCTATGATCTAGGCAAATTGTATTTGACATGTCCAAGTATAATTCACATAAACTTCTCTGCTCTGCAGAAGCTGATTCACTCTCAGAAATGGGCCAGGTATCCTCGCTCTTTGCCCACTCGCTGGTGACGCTTTCTCCTGGCTGGCTTTGGCTCTTTTTGACACGAGGATAGCGCAACTTGATGTCAGAATTGAACCGTAACAAGGTCAGCTTCAGGAAAGTCGACATAAGGATCAGAGTTCCAATTGGAAGCAAACTTCCATTCAGGAAGACCGCGCAATCACGAACAATCCTAGACAAGTTCAGTTCCCAATTGCAATCAAGCTAGACGATCATGAGCATCTTTCGCAAAAACACCAATCAAGCACTCCGCACTCAACTCCGCACTTCGTCCTCGTGCTGCTGTCGTCCTTGACAAAAGCCTCCTGCGGTTTTCGGTCCCAATGGCAGGCGCGGCTTGGGCTGTGAGTACACTTGCGATCGAAAGGAGCGAAACGCGGGGGCTCCTGAAAGATGGGCTTGGATGTGCCCAGGGAGAGGTACGAGAGCTGCGCAGATTGATGCACTTGAAGGCTGTGCATTCAAAGGAAAAGAGAGCCTCTCTCCCAGACTCCCAGGCAAACTCAAGTGGGTAGTCAATGGAAAATAGGTACCCTCCTTATGCCTGCTCCATTGCCTTTCTACGACCCTACCAAACAAGCCATCCTCCTTTACAATGGCATGTCTTTTGGGGGTGGGGAGAACTCACAACAGCGCCTCCTCCGTCCGCAAATCCTGCGCAAGCTCCAAGCTGGTTGCAGTCAAGCAATGCCCTGGACCAAAACGCTTCAGGGTACTCTGACATGCAATGTTGTGTTCCAGAGTCACGCATCAACAAAGCACGAGATTACATTTAATATTCTACAATACCCAAGTCTCAAAGCTTCAAGCACCAATCATGGCTTTTTCGTGGCCCACTCACAAAAAGGTCCTCTGGTGGCGCATGGACAGTGAAAACCGTCTCATCACGTGGAACCCACACCTGCGGTGCAATGCGCCAATCCAAGCAACCCACTTGAGCTGCACGAGTTGCCTCCGGTGCTCTGTAACTAAAGTTTAACCGTCTTAACCTGGCAGCCTCTCGACCGCTTGGCTTACGCAGTGTAAGCGCAGTCCTTTGACATGTTGCCAAAAAAAAACTTGGCGGTGCTTGATTGATATGACAAGCAGAAATCAAACCTGGGCCAAAAGCATGGACCTCAACGGAGTAAAAGGATCATAAAGCGATGGATTCTGCAAACGCTCCGTTTCTCTGCGCAGCGTGCTGCATTCCACGGTCAGGTGTGTGGGGCGTGACGGTAATTAGCATATATGCATGCCACCCCCTGGCCTCCTTCCCATCCGCTGTGCGGAACCAGCTCATAGCATACCAAAGGTCAGCAGCTGAGGAACAGCTGCTGCATCTTTCTGCATGTTGACTAAAAAGCATATCATCTCCCTTTTGCGAAAGTAGGATTGCTTTGGTCAGCAAGCTTGTTCCTGCAGGAACAACTTTTCCGGTGAAATGCTCTGCTCTGCTCTGTCCCTAAAGATTGACGACACTTCGCTGAAGCCTGCTCCGGACATCCTCAGCACTTCTGGCTGCAGCCCCCAATGGTCGGCCAAAATCTGGGGTACCTATGGCACTTGGGTGCACATAGCGTACAATGAAAGATTGCATGCGCACGATCCCAAGATGACTCGAGCTTTTTTCAGCAAATACTAAGCTTCGCCCAGAACCCATGCGTCGCCGTCAAAGGCAGGGTTCGCTTGCTCGCCTCGGACAGGAAGGCTGAAGCAGGGACTGGCATGTCAGACCTTTGCAAAACACAAGAAAGTCTGGGGAACCAAAACTACCTCATATGCCTGCCGTGCGCGGTTTGGATGTCTGCAATTCGGAGTGCAAGTCAATCACAAAGCCCAATTGAACAGTTTACTGTGGTCAAAGCCTGGCAACCCCCGCCTGACTGCTGCACTTTTGCCTGTGCGGTGACAGCAAGCATGCAAACATGCAACGTGTGCCGCAAAGTGTGTAATCCAGGCACCGCTACACCCCTGGTCCGGCATGAAATGATCAGCTTCCACTTCCTCTGGATGGGGTAAGCAACGATAGTGCCCAAGTCATGATACCCCGGCACATCTCAAGTTCTCAAGCTGACAAATTACATCTGTTGAAATCCCGAAAGACCCCTTTCCCGATCCGCCCATCTGTGTTAACCTGCCCCTGGTTGCTTTCTCTGACAGGAGCCCAAAATCAACTGCTCGGGGCAAGCATGACCCTGTGTCATTTCAAGTTCATCTCATTCCAGCTCCTGCAACAGGCAGCCTGCAAGGGGCTACTCCGGAATGTCCCTCGCTTGCACCAATGTTGACCCTCCAAGGTTTTGCCTCGGAACCGGCACCGCCGACGGACCGACCCTGCCTCCGTGCCCAGGTTCTGCTCCTATCACGCAAAGGGTGCGGCTGGAAGCTGACAGAGCTTGGACAAGCTTCTGGTGGAAAGGGTCTCCCAGCGATTCGAACAGAAGCAAGAGTACCTGGCACTTGCAAAATGAAAACTGGCACCACTGCCACCTCGAGTGAATGACGGATTGGTCCATTGGCGGATGCGATGAAGATCAAAAGCCTAAGAAGGCTATTTCTTGTCGGGCTGTTTGTATTTTGTTTCGGTGGTTCTTGCTTTTGGTTGTCTGGTCTGTTGCCTGTCGCGGCTTTTGCCTGGATCACCCTGAGCCAGCCCTAAACCCACCAAACCATCTTGAACCGACCTAGACCAATCATAGACCAATCCTATGCAGCCAGACAGAGCATCCGCCATTGCAAAGCCGCCGTTCAAAAGCCTGTCATGATATGCTCAGTGTACACTGCGACTGATGCCCTTCAATAATTTTAATTTGGAATTCTCCAACTGAATCGATTCTTTTTCGCAACAAAGAGCCTCTAGATGGGTGGCTTCCCCTTGGTTTCTTGAAACAACCGGAAGGATGATACCGCCCTCTTCCCCGTCACACCGCAGGCCTGGCCCAACCCGCCCAGAGCCCAGAAGAGCCCAGAGGCCCCCGGCCGCCCGGGCCCTCAGTGCGGACAGGAAGGTGGCCGTCTCCGCCTCGAGCGGGGCCGCACCTGGCGCAAAGGACTACGTCACGCCGACGCAAGGCCTATTTTTGTTCTTCTTCTGAACTTCCATAAATGACTAGCTAGGGTAGTTTTTGCTGAACTTCCTTGGGTTTTTTTCGAGACTTTCCTACTATGGACTCTGGAATGGCATACCGGAGGTGGCGCACCTCAGAGGTCCCTGCAAGATGCATCGCCTGGGCCTCATTCAGGGGGTTCATTAGAACCACTGAATTGCAAGAATGATTCACTGGAAGACAATTCCCTGTCAGTTGAAAGCAACTCGCTCCCAGCCTTGCTGGAGAACCACGTGTCCTTACAAGGGCCTAAAGCCAGATCTATTTCTGTTTGAGCATGCCCTTCTAATCTTCAATTACCCAGATATTATTTCTGTTGGCTTGTACAGCCGATTTCAACTAAGAAAAACGGTTACCAGTAGGAGCGAGCACACCTTGCACCCTTGTGAGACGCTGAAATCACGCCTAAAGTATCATCCCTGGAAGAGGGTTCCAGGACAAATCCAACAAGTAAAAAGGCCGACAGCAACAGCAACCACAAACAGCCGCCAGAAATCCAACGAACCTGGGTGCGGCGCCTGACTCCGACAGGGAAAGAACGTCGTGCAGGAAGCCTAAGCTTCCGTAAACGCGGCAGCTCCTGACAGCGAATTGGATGCAACAAGGATATTGCATGCCGATGCAGCAAAGGGCTCTAGCCGATAAGAGCTGTTGAAAGAAACACACTGTAGGCCCTGTAGGCCACACTCATTCATCAGCCTTCTGGGTGAATAGCATCCAGAACATGAGCCATCAATTTGCCAGCAAATACAACAATTGCTTGTACTTGACATTAAACATTGCATGCAGCCCTTTTTTTTTTGAAACCTTAACCTTGCCTGGAAGTCGCACAAACTGTGGACGGAACACAAACTGTGGACGGAACACATCGGCGCCAGTGCTTAGTGCTTGTGGCATTCAGTCTTCGGCAATCGCGGCTTCAGCCCTCAACGTGGCAAATGGAGAAAAACAGTGTCAGTCGTGGCAGCCGTGGCTTCTGTGTGTACCGGGTGGGTTCGAAAGGTGCCTAATATTGGGAGGGCCCACTATTTTGAGATGAATATGGCCATGGTTCAAAACTTATGGCTCCATTTTGGGGTGGATGAACATCCATTTGCCACCTATTTTGATGTTCACCAGGGGTGCAGGGGGCGTGACCCACAGCCATATAAAAACCTGCCAGAGGTAGGCTCCCAAGGCACCCGGCTCAGGAGGCTATGGAGGATGGCACCCCCAGGCCCCGCCGATGCCCGCGGGGCTGCCCTTACTGCGACGGGATAGGCTTCTCAGTTGCGGGGATTCTTGGGATGGGGTATGGAGGCCAAGCCAATCGTAGTGACTTGCTCCCCATTCTTGGGATGGGCAGGGTTGGTGGATTGATTGAACTCTGTTGACTTGGTAGTATCACTTGGTTTGTTTATGCAGGGAGTCGGCTCAGGTGATACCTGCTCCAGTGACTTTGACTCTCTGTCACAGGCTGCCAGGGAAAAGGGCGCAAAGAGGTGGCAGCGTTGGGTATTGGGTTGTGTGCCCTCGAACCAAACAGAGGGAATTTATCAGGATAACTGTTCAGGAAGGGCAGGGAAATTGAAGCATCCTGCTGGCGATTCTACCCTGTCGGTCTGACAGGGATCGCATCGATGGTGAGCGTCAGAAAGGCAGAGTGGTGACTGGCGCTTTCGAAATGACCTGCCACCAAGCTCCCTGCGAAAGCATGCTGGACTGCGTCACCTGCCATCAAAGACTTGGGAACGCTAAGTCCGCAGGGAAGCTCGGGATGGCACCTCCCAGTCCCCGCTCCAGCCTGGCAGAAGCGGCAAAGCAGCATGCTTGAGAGCTCCAGGACACTGCTGGCGAGCTTCTTGAGCCTCTCGGAGATTTTGGTTTCAGACTCAGAACATTGAGGCCACTCTTTCTTTGAAGAGGGAAACACGGGCAGAGCATGAATGTCGATGCCAAGATGAGAAGCAAACAGTGCCAGAGTTTAGAGCTCAACAGGAACCAGAATCAACCTTTCTCTGCCTGCAAATGGATTGCTGCATAAGTTAGCAGCCAGGTGGCTGTGGGTCAAAACCCTGTACCCCCGGTGAACATCAAAATAGGTGGCACATGGGTGTTCATCCGCCCCAAAATGGAGGCACAGGTTCTGACCCATGGCCGGGGCGCAAGCGGTTGCCACCCCGCCACAGTGATTCGATGGTAGGAGCCCTTTAGCTGAGCCCTCGACTCCCGCAGTGTCACACCCTCGGGTGTTGCTGTGCATAGCTGGCTGCCAAGCCTGGGTGAACAGGCCGTACCCAGGTGAACAGAAAGCAAACGACTTGTGGCAGAGTCCTTGAATTTTCGTTTTGATCACGAGCAAAACGGTTTCATGTAAGACATTTCCAGATGCGTGCATTTTCGATTTACCACAGGATGGCTCTATTGAAAACTGACTGGACTTCAGGCCTGTTACGAGCGAGTAAAGAACTGCAAAGCATCATGAAACCGTGAGAGACGAGGACTTTGCTCTCCAAGGTGTTTACAGAACTTCGCCAAGGCCAATATTGTGGGCGTTCTCAATACAGTTGAGAAGCAGCAAGCAAACTGGCCGAAACAGTCGTGGAAGGCTGCTGAATCTACCAACAAACAGCACGGCTCATGCTTTCAGTGTGGAGGACAGTAAGCAAATCGAAGAGTGAGCCAGCGCAGGCAGCATGCATCGGGAGTGTGTGTGTGTGTGTGTGTATGTGTATGTGTGTGTCTGTATGTGTATGTGTGCGCGCGTGTGTGCGCGTGTGTGCGCGTGTGCGCGCGTGTGCGCGCGTCGCGTGTCCGCGTGTGCGCGTGTGCGCGTGTGCGCGTGCGCGCGCGCGCGCCTACGCGCGCGCGCGTGCGCGCGTGCGTGCGTGCGTGGGTGCGTGCGTGCGTGCGTGCGTGCGTGCGGCGGGCGGGCGGCGGGCGTGCGTGCGTGCGCGTGGGTGTGTGTGTGTGTGTGGGTGGGTGTGCGTGCGTGCGTGCGGGTGTGCGTGCGCGTGCGCGTGTGTGTGCGTGTGCGTGTGGTGCGTGTGCGTGTGCGTGTGTGCGTGCGTGCGTGCGCGCGCGTGCGCGCGTGCGCGTGCGCGCGCGCGCGCGTGCGCGTGCGCGTGTGCGCGTGTGCGTGCAGCGCGCGTGCGCGTTGCGCGTGCGTGCGCGCGCGTGTGCGCGTGCGCGTGCGCGTGCGCGTGCGCGTGCGAGTGTGCGTGTGCGTGTGCGTGTGCGTGTGCGTGTGCGTGTGCGTGTGTGTGTGTGCGTGTGTGTGTGTGTGTGTGTGCGTGTGTGTGTGTGTGTGTGTGTGTTTCTGTGTGTGTGTGTGTCTGTGTGTCTGTGTGTCTGTGTGTGTGTGTGCGCGTGTGTGCGTGTGTGTGCGTGTGCGCGCGTGTGCGTGCGTGTGTGCGTGTGTGTGCGTGTGGTACGGGTGTGCGGGTGTGCGGGTGTGTGGGTGTGTGTGTGTGTGTGTGCGTGTGCGTGTGCGTGCGCGTGCGTGTGCGTGTGCGTGTGCGTGTGCGTGCGTGCGTGCATGCGTGCGTGTGCGTGTGCGTGTGTGTGTGGGCGCGTGCGCGTGCGTGCGTGCGTGGGTGGGTGTGTGTGTGTGTGGGTGCGTGTGTGTGCGTGTGCGTGGGCGTGCGCGTGCGCGTGCGCGTGCGCGTGCGCGTGCGCGTGCGTCGGCGTGGGTGTGTGTGTGTGTGTGTGCGTGTGCGTGGGCGTGGGCGTGTGCGTGTGCATGAGTAAGAGTGTGTGAGAGTGCGTGTGTGTGTGAGTGTGTGTGTGTGTACGTGCCATGTCAGGTTTGAGTAGCCAGCTGGACTCTGGGGAACACGGGCTTAATAATTTAAATATAGATTTATTTATATCCTAAAATAAAGACAAAATATGAAATCTAAAGCCCTCGATAATTCATATATCTAATATGTGTTTAGTCATTATTAATTTAGCATTTTGTATATTAGAATTTAAGATATATATGGTTTATCTTGGAAAACAATATTATAAATGGTATTATGTATATAGTGCTATGTTTGACATTCCTTTTGTTTGACATATTAAGAATATATAGTTTTAAAGAAAAAAATACGTGGCTAATTATTTATTGAAATAACTTATATTTTTAAATTATTGTTTATTTAATTTTACTTATTAACAATTTTATTATTATTATGGTAATTTGTGTTTTTGCAAATTATATATATATATAACAATTAGAATATTAAGGTTGTCTTGTTAATTTAATATATTTAGTAAAGCTTATATTATTATTATTATTATTATTATTATTATTATTATTATTATTATTATTATTATTATTATTATTATTATTATTATTATTATTATGTTTTCAGGAGAAAGAAAAAACATAATATGATTTAGTCTATTAGATTTTAAGGTAATGACAAATAATAGTAAATATATTAAATGGTAAACCTCTTATTTTACTGATAAAACAAATATATTATTATTGTGTGTATTTACAAAAATGTTTAATATATTGTTTTAGAATTGTATCATTTATAGATAGAACTATTGCTAAACAATAAGAAATGATTATATGTTTATCATTTCTTCTATGCTTTTGTTGAATTTATCCGATTGAGAACGTCACTTGCACCTTGCCCATGCTCAACATCATTGCATTGCAGTAGACTACAAGAGCGAAAGCTGGCTTTCAACTGCAGAGCTGTCACCACCTGCATCTGGAACGCCCCACGTGACGACCGATCCATCGGCCAAGATGGCGGCAAATGCACGAAGTGTGGCCTGAACTTGCTGCACGTTCCGCAGCTTTTCTTGAACTGCAGAACTATCACCACCTGCATCTGGATCGCCCCAGGTGACGACTGATCCATGGGCATGTGGCCTGAATTTGCTGCACGCTCTGCAGCCGATCTTGAACTGCAGAGCTGTCACCACCGACGCTTGGACTCCCCAGGTGACGACTGATCCATCAGGCAAGATGGCAGCAAATGCATCGCTTGTGGCCTGAACTTGCTCTACGTTCCTCAGCGTCGATCGCCCCAGGTGACCGCTGATCCATCGGCCAAGACGGCAGCAAATGCATCTTCCCCACCATCACCACGCCCCCGGTTGGATTGAGCTCGCTGCACGTTCCTCAACCGATCTTGGACTGCAGAGCTGTCACCACCGTGTTTAGGCTCACCGCAGGTGACGACCGATCCATCGGCCAAGATAGCAGCAAATGCATCATTTGTGGACTGAACTTGCTCTACGTTCCTCAGCTGATGTTGGACTGCTTCGCTGTCACCACCTTTGCCCGGATCCCCCCAGGTGACGACTGATCCATCGGCCAAGATGGCGGCAAATGCATCTTGAGTAGCCTCAACTTGCTTCACATTCTTCAGCTGATCTTGAACTTCATAGGTGTCTCCACCATGGTCAGGCTCACCCCAGGTGACGACCGATCCATCGGCAAGACAGCTGCAAGAGCATCACCTGTAGCCTGAACTTGCACGATATTCCTGAGCTCATCCTCAACATGAGCACTCCCAGACCCACACCATGGATCACCCCAGGTCACGACCCGGTCACCTCTGTAGGTCGCGAAAGCAAATAATGTCGCTGCCAGTTTTGGTTCCTCTGCGATGGCGTGGGTCGTCCAGGCTCAGGACATGTCCCTTAGCCGTGACCAGTTTCAGAGACGGTTTTCCCAAGGACGTTTCGGCCAAGCGTTGCAAGTCGTCAACCGTGGAGAGTTCCGGACACGATAAGGTCTCACCACAGCCGCTGGGGAGTGAGACCTTCACTCGAAGCATCTCTTCGCACTCAACTCAAACCATACCCGTCTCGAGCCCAAAGAACCGTGAATCAAATGATCAATCAACCTAGCCTATGTTCCACAAACGAAGCTCAAAAGGGCAAACTCCCAAACACCGTCACGACAAGACTCGCTCCTCTCTTTGATGTCTGCCTAGACAACTTGTACAGGTTGCATGGCACAAAGCCACTGCTGGACTGGGCCTTCGGCGTTGCATTTGGCCGTCGCGCCGCAAACTTGTAGCGCAGGGCCCCTGCACGAAGCCGCAAATGACACGGCAGCTCAGGCAGTGCATGCGCTGTCTGGAAGTGCATGGACTGCAGCACTTTGTCATGATGCATCGTCTTGAGTTGTCTGCAGATCATGCTGGCGATAGATACAAAGTCAGATTCTTGGGCCTGACCCGGCCCACTTCTCAGCAACAAAGTTTCAGCCGAGTATTTCTCTCGGAAAGGAACGCAACGGCACACATTGTGCTTTGCGCTTTTTTCATGCAGATCTGAGGCTCTGCTCCAGCATGCTCAAAACCGGTCGGAAGAAAGTAGCGGGGTCTGGCCAAGACTTCCACGGATCAATTGGCTAACATCCAAAGGCCCGGCTGAGTCAAATATCGGCGGAATCTTGGGAGAAGCTCTGAGGCGCTGGCGAACGCGGTTGCTTGTCCTGCCCAAAATCCAGGGCCCGCCCCTCAGCCCGCATTCCACACATTGACCATCCCTCAGGTGAGTCACAATCAAACCCCGGTACTAAAATGGTCTTCCAGAACCATGTAAAGACTGAAGCAGGCGGATATCCGCAACTATTTATGGCTGGGAGTCTTCCTTACTAACCTCCATCTACCCGGGTTTTGACCATCCCTCAGGTACTACGACGCCTGAGGTTTGCCAGCCCCAGTCCTTGGTTCGGTCACCGGCGGCAGCGTCCTGGGCGGAGACACACAGACACATGCCGCGTAGCATTCAAGGGCATGCTGCGGCTATCTCAAGACGCCCGTGTAAAAACTCCACAGAACAAGGGGCAAAATAAATAGAACTGTGTGTGTCGGGCCTGCTGTCATTGTTTGAGTATGGGCTCGAAGAAAGGCAAGAGCTTGTGACTGCTTGCCTTCCACTCCGGTTGTTGTTGCATCCCAAGGCGCGGTGACCAAGCCGTGGCCAGAGGCGTTTGCCTTAATGCACCACATCCGACTCCGTGGGTAGCGAAACCGGTTGCCTTTTCTCAGGCGTCCACCCAGGTGCAGCCTGTGGCGACGCAAAGCCTTGGTGGATCAGCTTCCATGGGGCAAAGCGTGCAGGAAAAGCATGGCTGTGGGTCGAAAAGGGTAACCCCAAAATGGGTTGCCCTGGTAAAAGGAAACATGGGCTAAAACCTGCGGTCCCCTGGTGGTATGTTGACCCAGAGCCATGTGGGCACCATGCTCGAGTTGCAATGACATATCTTGCGAGTACCATGAAAGTCCAGGGTATGGCAGCTTATCCAATTGCTCCACATACAGGGCTTTGCCCAGCCAAGCATAAGGAAAGAAGCCTTTGGTGCATGCGAAGTGGCAGCCAGCATGACAACCGCATCTGAGATTCGCCGATTGCATATGGGGGTTGTTCAGTATTCCTCGCCCCCAAATGACCATGGGAAACTTTTCAAGTTTAGTGAGACATATCATCTGTTTAGTGTTTCCCCAGTAAACGGATCTTTTGATCAACCCCGACATGGCTGTCGGTCAAAAGTAGGTACCCAAAATGGAACCCTGGTAAGAGGAAACATGGACCAAACCTGCGGTGCCGTGGTGATTTGATTTTGACCCACCGCCATATGGCTTGATCATGCACTGAATGCGCCTGGGCTGGCAGGACCGTCGGGAGCGCCCAGCCTCGGGCAGACCCCAAGATACAGCCCACATGACAGCTAGGTGCAGCACTCGCAACGGGTTCTTATGAACTTTGAGCCACCAGAAATCCCTTGATAGCCAAATGGCTGTGGCTCAAGAAACCGGTACCAAAATGGAACCTGGTAACTGGAAACCTGGACCAAAACCCGCGTAACCCCTCCTGTTCAATGTTGAGCCACCCCCAAATGTAGCCTCTGAGTAAAGGCGCGCGGCCGATGGAAAAGATGGCCGATGGTGACTGGAGCGGACTGGTGGCTGCAAGGGAGGGGTGTTTGAACATCTTGTCACCTGGCCGAGTGTGGTTAAATACCTCTACTGCAAAACAACCTTTGTTTTTTCCCTGTCAGCACGACTTCTCGCAGTGTGCTCTGAACCAAAACGTCTCCAGTAGAGTTCTGACAGGCCAGGGTGAGCTGCTGGCATCCAGCAGGGCATATATCGTGACACCTGACGGTGGGACTTACCTCAGTATCTTCAGGATTTTGGAATCTCTTCACTGTCGATGGTATTGGCCAAAAACATAGCCGAGCATTTAAAGCAAAGATACGCGGGCGGGGGATGGCCATGCAGGTGTAAGGAAGAAGCTCGATTTCCTCCTTTCTGTATGGCTGTGGTTAGCATAGGCGAACCCTGCTCGATCCCAGCGCGTTTTCATCAGCATCAACATCATGAAACGGCACAACAACCCGGCTCAGCTAGCAACGTGAAACTGCACCTCTTGAGGGCTATCAGTTTGCCCGTTACCTCCTAGCTTTTGCTTCTGCTGCAAGCGTTCAGGCCAGCATCACATGGCAGTTAGCTGTCCTTTGCCTTCTCCCAAGCCATTTGGAGACTGCGGGTACTGACATCTTCAACAAGAACACGTATGCAGAATAACGGAGGTTTACAGGAGGCTCAAGCCCGGTCGCAGCTAGGAATGGTTGGGATTGTCCCTTGCTAACCTTCATCTACCCGGGCTTTGACTGTGGCTCCCTTGCAGTTTTGGATTGTGCGCACGCTGCATCGTGCGCTGGGTCCACAGGCTCTCCGATGCCGACCAGTGCCAGAGACAGCGGCAGCCAAGCATCGCCTGTGGCGATGCGCCAAAGACACGCTGTCCACTGGAGTCGTAGTGACTACCTGCATTCAAAGAACCCCCTACTCCAAATACCCTCTTTTTTCAGGGTATCTTGTCGACCCTCTACAAAAAAGGGAGGTTCTTACCGTGGAAAACCAGGTTTTCCCAAAAATAACCTGAAAAAAAGCGGGTATTTGCAGTAGGGGGAAGTTTATCCCAAACTGAGCAAAGCCCAAGTTGCGCAAGGCGGCCGCACCTTCCCTACTAACATTCATCTTCGCAGGCTTTGCTTGTGGCTCACTCAAGTGGATCGCAAATCAGCTGCGACTCGGCTCTTTACAATGCCCATGCCCATGTTTAGCTCGTACCCTTGTCTTCTGAGTCACTGAATGGTCCTCGCCTGCATCTGCTTCCATTGCAGAATTTGCAATGGTCAGCCGATGCATCTCCTGCAGGCCACGCATTGGTTTAAAGGCGCTCCGCCCCACTCGCCGGCGTACGCCCATAAACTACTTCGTCGAGAACGTGGCTTGATTCAATAGGCAACAGTGATCTGCCTGACAGAAACCGCGCGCCGCTGTCAAGGCCATGTTCCAAAACAAAAACGGGCGTTTCGGATGCTTTCAGGATGTGAAAGCACAATATGGAGACCATGATGTCCGATCTTTCAGCGTACTCTCGGAAAGCATGGGTTTGTCCGGTCCTGGCGCTGGCCGTTCAAGGTCTCCAAGTACTCTGCGGCTTTCTTCCCAGTCTCCATGGTCACCTGAGAGGCGAAAGTCCATGGGTCCTGCACTTTGCTCGAGCATATGTTGCATGCCAGAGATCCCATGAGGTTGGTCCGTGAAAAGCGTATGCCGGCCCCGAGTGCTTCGCGTTGCCTAGCTGCCAACTCCTCGCTTTGGGGCCCAGGCGTCCATGAGCACTGCCCAAAGGCGTACAGGGTCTGATTCTGCTGCATTCAGAGCAGCAGTGCCTGTGCTACGTCCGCTGAGTCGCACTCCAAAGATCTCCTAAAGACTCCTTAAGATGTTGCGCTCAGATATGATACCCGTCTCACTTTGTAACCAGCATGGGATCAAAACAGCTGATGGCGAGCACACAAAATCCACGGCATGAGGGCTTCCAGGAGAACCGGGGAGCGAGGTGTTGGATGTCGCACCCAGAGCTGAGTTGGCTCACACTACTGTGGATGGACGAAATCCTGCACCACGTTGAAACCATGGGAAACCACTGTTTGTTGGCATTTACAAGGGAATCATCATTCCAGGGTGTCTTAGGAGGTGCAGGATTTTGTCCATCCACAGTATGATGCTACAAGCACATCAACCATACACAAGGACTGGCAGAGACGCGGGCAATTCCGATAAACCCTGAACCAGCCAGCAGGAGATGAAAGCAACAAAAAGATGATGCCTATTCCCGGCTCATGAGGTCAAGCTTCGATCCAGCTGATGCCCGTAGCGGAGAGAGAGAGGGAGGGAGAGAGAGAGAGAGAGAGAGAGGGAGGGAGGGAGGGAGGGAGGGAGGGAGGGAGGGAGGGAGGGAGGGAGGGAGAGGGCGGGAGAGAGATAGTGAGCGAGTTCAGCGCCTCGGCTACGGCTTCCGCATGAACATGTCTGCTTCATGCGCCGAGTACCTCTCCCTTGTGGCATCATCTGCTGCGAAGCGCGCTCTCTCCCCGGACCCCGCCGGAAGTCTTGGGCCCGCCTCCCGCATCCTTGAGCCCGAAGACGCTCTGGTAGGCCGTGGGCCAGCCCTGGGCGGGGTTGATCTCGGTGACCTGCCACGGGCAAGCGGGCGGGCCCCAAGCGGGCTCAAGACTAAATGGCCATGGGTCAAAATCCACATCCCGATCCCCACTAAAATAGACTAAAATGGGTGGTGCACCTACCCCAAAATGGTACCACTGCCAAATCAAACTCTGATGAACATCCTCCTTGGACCCAGGGTCCCGACCCCGACATGGCAAACATTGGCAAGTCCCAAGTACTCTGAGCTGACTCAGCTGAACCGAACCCTGCTCAGCTCCGGCAAAAGTTGCTTCAGACCACGAGATGCAGCACACTTGTGACCTCAATAGAATGCTTGAAGAAACAAGCCTGGACACGGAATCACTACACACAATCCGAGCATTGTGAACAAAGCCCGGCCTTTGTCGCCGCCTGCGCCAAACTCAGCCATTGCGGCAGGGACCTGATCTGCAAAGTGACGGGCGCAGCTGAGCCCTAGGCTGACGCAGGGCCCAAACAGTACCAAGGCCCGCGCCGCAACTTATCAATGTGAAACACAAAGCGAGAATGTGCCTGTGGCTCAAATAAATGTACCAAAATGGCACCTTGGTAAATGGAACCAAAGACTAAAACCTCTAGCTCTTTCATTTTGAGCCACACCCATGTGTTCAACAGCGATTAAAGCTGAGCAAGACATGTCGGCTCGCTGAACTTCCGGAGGCCCCGGCGAGATACGCAGGAGGGCAAGCAAGAGGTTCCTGCAGGTGCCAAGCAGCCAAGTCTCCAAACCCGTCTCCGCACCAGGACTTTGTACCGCATCCATTTCCCAACCCGACTCACCACTGGTGCTGAATCAAAGGCGCAGCTGCCTTGCAGCTTGCAGCCCCCACTTCTAGACCCTGCCTCAGCAGCTCCAAGCCTAAAGGCCCGGCCCGAAAACGAGCTAAGTTCTGCTGCCGAGTCTTTGTTGGTGCACAGAGTGTCAGAAAATTGGATCTCATGTGTCGTGGGAGCAACATAGCGAAAAAGGACTTGGAGTTTTCAGCTCGAAAACCATGCTAGCTTCTGACTGTGAGTATGACCTGGCAAGGGTTGGGTCATGCGATCTGCTAGGCATCCGTGCCTAGGTACTCCACGCGTTGATGAAAAATCGAAGGTGCCTTCGCAGTTCTGGTCTTGGCAAAACAGCTGCAAAACTCGCGGCATAGCTTCATGCCAGCTTCATGCCAGCTTCATGCCAGCTTCATGCCAGCTTCATGCCAGCTTCATGCCAGCTTCATGCAGAGTCCCTCTGTGCCTGCGCCGGGATCTCACTCACTGCCATTTCCGGCACCTGGCAGAATTCCGGCTCAACAGCCCGAACAATGCCCTTGATCATAGAACTACTCGGCTTCTTCCATCAGCAACGCTTCATCTTTCCGAGTTGATGCGCAGCACGCGCAGCAGTCTGGGAATCTCCGAGTCCGTTTGGCCCACGCCTGCGCTGCCAGGCGCTCCTCGCCCGAGCGGGGAAGAAACACCTTCCGGGGCGAGACAGCTGGCGCAAAACGAGGATTGCACCACTCAGCAGGGATCCTTACACGAAAAACACCTGAACATTGCCTTGTCAATGGTGGTGTCCCCTGATTTTGGCGGAAAAAGCCATGTTTCAACTGGTTGCAAAATGTAGATTTTAAGGAGCCCTGCTCAAGTTTCATGGTTTGAGAGTGCCACAGTCGGCCCTAGTTGTCGCTGTGGTGTGAAACCGCGAGAATGTCATGTCGTGTTTTCGTTGCCTCGCTATTATCCTGGCGATGCGTGTACCTGCGGCCCGCCATTGCTGCTAGTCTATTCCTGCCTTGGGTAGTTTGTGCATATTTATATATATATATATACACATGTCCTGATAAACAGCCCGTACGCTGTGGGAAAAAACATTTTCACTCAGTGCGAATGCGCAACTGGCAGCGTTGGGCTCACTTGTCCTATATTCACTCACGAATGCTCCAAAGGTGAAACATGCGAATGAAACACAATCTGCGTGTCATCTGATCTGATGTCCTGCTATCTGTTCTGCTGCTACCATGTGAAGTGGGGTTGTGCCGTGCGGGCCGACAGCATGCTCTGGGCTATGAAGCCACCGCTTGCTCGGGCCAGCCTTGATGCACATGCACTGATCCCAAATCCATGCCAAAGTCAATCCATGCTCCTAGGCTGGTAGACCTAGGCGATTCTCACATTCCTTCTTTTTCCTTTGTTGACTTTGGCTCGTCCTCCGAGCTTGCATCTTGCTTCCGCATCAACTTCACGATCTCTGTGATGCGCTCCTCTTTCTTCTTCTGCTTCAAAGGGTCTTCCCTTTTCACCTGCCGCAAATTCTGTCGCTGCAAACGCTTCTTCTCCTTGGACTTCTTGTTTGCATCTGTCTGCGTCAAGCAAAGCTTCCCTTCTCGCAAATACTCAAAGAGAACTGCAGTGTCTGCTCGAAGTTTTGTCAAAACGTCAGCCATGTTCTGACCACCGTCGATCCACCTCACAAACGCGTTCTTCCGCTTGACTGTTTCTCTCAGTAAAGCGCCTTCGATTGCCATGCGTTTATCGCTGCTTGTACTGTGACTGTCCTTGCTGAGGTCGTCGTAAACTGCTGGGGCATCTGTTACGCACACTCTCGAGCGCTCCTCAACAATGCGGCCCCAATGCTTCAAATCTATATCGCCATACAGGGCTTCTGCAAGAACCACCGACAACCAGTCACCTGCCTCTACTGCTTCAGACAAATGAGCTGCCTCGGCTGCCAAAGTGCTCCTGCAAACACGCCTTGTCTGCGAACTTTGAAAACTCATCAGGTTTGCACGCACCTCTTGTCCTTCAAGAACTCCAGGGTTCGCCAAAAGCAAGAAATATCCGCCCACCGACCGGTACTTCATGATGTTGTCTTTCTCCGGTGTGCCATTGGCATGTCCTGCATCTGCCAAATGCACCACTACTGCTGTGTAAGGATCAACATCTGACCAATACCTCTGTCTGAAATGGGCTGCTCGCCTGGCTGCTCCCACGGCTGATCGCAATCTGACCAAGTCTGCAACACAAGGGTCTGCTTTGCTCCTCTGAATGCAACCATTCTCATATGCCAGATCACATCTCAATTGCCGTGTCACCCATCCAAGTTCACCCGCGGACGACTCCAGCGTCTCCCGTTCTGCTGCTGTAAGTCGTGCCTCAAGGTGCATCTTGCGGTCTTTATCAGTCTTAACCGGCTTCATGCTGCGAACATAATTGCTCATGGTCACATCGATATGACCACCGGGAACTTGCTTTACCTCACGTCCGCGGAAGGTGTAACTGTCATAGTTGTTTGTTGCAAATTCCAAAGCCAGCGACGATTTCTGAAAAGCTTTATCCATAACGAGGGCATCCACACCTGCTTGTATATCATCTACACGCGTAACCAAAATTCCCTTCAAACGTTTGGTCGCCTCCTCACGCAAGTAAAACAGTGCGGGTTCCAATCTGGACTCTTTCCAACCATCGCTCTGCAGATGTTCTTTCAACGCCAACCAGAACAACCTTGCTGCTTCTGCAAAGCCATATATCGCCTTCCGGACCTTCAAGACTGTACCGGGCTTCACTCCCGGCAAACCGCCTCGTGGTGGAAGTAAATACAGTTCGCGCCCGATTTCTTTGCCAGAGAAATACGCATTCTTGATGTCCTTGCAAACCATCTTAAATCCAGAAGCTGCTGAAAGAGTCAAAACCAGGGATTCTGCAAATGCGGAACCAGTAGGGGCGTCACGCCGATAAGTTCCAAGCGACTTGTCTTTGAATCCTTGCACCACGATGCGACTCTTCGCAAAATAAGGAGAACCAGGCTTGCCTTCGTTCTTGTTCGTCCTCACCCACCGTGTGGGAATCACACTGTGAGGGAGCTCCTGCAAAACGCGGCGGGATTCATCCTGCGACAGCACCTCGCAAGCGTCCTTCTCCAACCGTGCACGCCACTCCTTGGCGTCTGAACCACCATCGCCCTCAAAGAGCTGTCTGGTGTCATAGTCCAGATTCTTTAGGTTGACCTCCTTGCGGGCTTTCTTCTTCACTGCACCACCGGATGCGTCCGCATCCCTGCCAGCTAAAGCCGACTCCGCCAGTGCTGAATATCTGTCGTAGAAATCGTTGCGTTCCATGCCAAACAAAAACGTGTCACTGTCGACATTCTCCAGCTTATCCATCAGGAACTCATCTTCGGCCACTGCGAGATAGCTGAAGGGAACACTGACCTCATGAGCTGCCAGCGCTTCCGCTTCTTCTCCTTCCTGCAAAACTCGCTGCCGCTTTGCCTCTCGTTCACGAGGTTCGGAAACATCTGCAGCCTCTGGAATTGGGGCCACCGAAGGTGCTCCTGTTGATTGCCGAAAATCGTCCAAATCAGGATCAAACTCAGGACCAACAGGCACTTCCAGATGTTCCGGCATCGGCAGATCCTTGACAGGGGGTAGCCGCTCTCGCTCTTTCCGCCTCTGTTCCTGCTTCTTGGCCTTCTGCTTCTTATCAAAGAATGCATGCGAGGATAACATCTTCTTCCTGTCCCTTTCAGACTCATACTCCATGCGGGCCATAGACGTTGAGTTTGATGACAGGTCTTCCCGGTCTGATGCTTGTGCTGGTAGTGTAGGGGGGTCGTCGGCGCCCTGTTCTTTCTCCTCAGCTCCAGCCTTTCTCTCCCTTCTCTCATCCACCGCAGGCAGTTTCTCCTCAGGCTCCTCAGGAAAACCTTCTCCCACCACACATCCCGGGGGCCCCATTCTGCCTGGTCATAGAAGAACACATAATCTCCAATGCTGAATGGACCACGAGTGGGACGAACTCGGCGTAGTTCTGCTCTCCTCAAGGCTGAATCGTTTGCAAACTTCATAAAAGCTTCTCGTGCCGCCATGCGAATCTGATTCTTCCTGAAAAAGCGTGTGGTAGGCGTTTCAGCTGCACACTGAGCTCCAATGCGAACCACTTCTGATTCCTCTGTCAGATCAGCTGGCACACGAATGGATCTACCCAGCACCCATTGTGATGGCGAGAAACCTGAGCGTCTGGTGAGGTTGTTGCGGGCTGAGTTGACGGCGGAGGTAGCCATGTACATGTCCTCCTTGCCTGCAAGCTGTTCACTCCACACCATACGCCTCAGTGTGGATTTCCATATTCCACCAGCACGTTCAACAAACGCTATCTGCCACGGGGATGCCTTGGCTGCTGACAACCTTCTTCAGAGAGTCGGGATGCCAGTTCGCCCAGGAAGTACTTAGCTCTGTCCACAATCACTCCTCTCTCGGGCATACCAGCCCAGCCACCCCAGCTCATCTCGAAGGTCTTCACCACTTCCAGACTTGTTGGATTCTTCAGCGTGTCTCCCAACAGGCTGCACACCTGAAAACCAGCGCCCTCGTCAACCACGTTCAACCAACACCACTCATCAGCGTTGCTGTCCTTCTCACTGAGCACATCCAGGCCGACAACAACGTTGAATTCATCCACATGTGGTAGTCGGGAAGGTCGAGGGATCTTCGGCTCCAACAGCCTCGGGCACTCCAAGCACCTGAACAACCTGCAAGCTCGCAAGGCTATCTCTGATGCCTTTGACACACGTAGAGCTCGTAACATGTCTGGCAGTCGTGCATGACCGAGGTTGACATGTATCCTTTCCAACTTCAATTCCCGGGGCAAGGCTTGCCACTTCCTTTCTCTCTCGGCCTCCTTGTGCTTCAAGGGGTCTGAAGGCCGCCCTGCTTCATCTCCAGGCTCAACTTCATCTTCTCCAACTAACGCCCCGAAGAGCGTAATGCAGAATACACGTGATTGATTTGGAAAAGGTCTCAACTGTGAACTCGGTGCCAATTGCTGCCAATCCTCCCAGCTTGTAGACAAAATGTCCTTGCTGGCCATATACAGGAGTGTCTTGCGAAGTGGAACTTCTGCTGGTTGTACATGAGGCTGGGGTTTCTTCATCCTCCGTGCGTCCACTGATGCCAGAATCAACCGAACGTCTGCCTGAGCTGACTCCAACGATCTCCACTCCTGACCAACCTCGGAGTTCTTGTCGATGATGATCCATCCACCGACGGAACCACTATCGCGGTACACCTCCATGGTGGCGTCCACGAGACTCTGCACCTTGTCATCCTTCAGGTTTGTCCACATGCCACGTTGCAGTTGTCTCGTCCGCGCTCGCCGTCTCCTCAAGGTCACAGGCTTGTCCTCTGCTGGCGGTGCTTGTTGCTCAGGTAAGACTAGCTCCTGGGGTAGTAGCTCAAAAACTGTCTTGCCTGTCCATGAACGATCCAGATCTCGTCCAGCTTCAGCTCGATCATGCCAGTCGTCAGTGAAGACTTAATCCTTGTCCTCGCCCACGTTGCGGATGTGGTTGGTTCTCTTGCCGGCGATCCGATCTAGCGGTACAGGTGGGTCTGTTCCATCAAGGGGTGCAAAAAGTGCACGTCTTGCAACTAAATGATGTCGAACCAATTCAAGCTCCACCTCCTTCAATTCCCAGCGATCTTCATCAACCATCTCCTCATCCGGCACGGGCTCCTGCTGGGCTTCTGGCATGGGTTCATCCTCCTCCTCATCCTCCGCCGGAAGTGCGTGTTCCCCACGTACCTCTCTGATCACAGAGCATCTCCATCTCACGTTGAACTCCTCGGCAAATGGCTCGGCAAAGAGGTTGAGGATACTCTGATGCTTGCTTTGACCTGCTACCACCAGAGTTGCTGCCAACGATCGGCTGGTGTGCTCCTTGTGGACAAGAGCACCTCCGACAGATCTGATTCAGAAGGACCTCCGAGTTCGAAAGCCAACCAGTCCGTTTTTGCTCTGGTCGTAGGCTATCTCGATCTCGTTTGCCAAAAGGACATTGATCTCCAATGGCGAACTTGCCGTCCATCTCCTTTATGATCTCCATCATGATCTGGCGGTAGGTCCAAGCCTTCGAGCCGATCGGGTTCTCCACCAAATAGAACCTTGCACGATTGAACTTGTACTTGCAGATATCCCTGACCAAACGCAGTGTCTTCAAGCCGACGGTCTTCCTCAGGAATTGCCATCTATCGTCTGGGGTCATGTTGGTCATGATGCTCCAGATTCTGCAGTCAAAGGCAATGATCGTCAGGAAGGGTCGGTGATGACGTAGTACCTGAAATACATGCCGTCGTCCCGCTTCTCCAAGTAGGTCGTAACCATCCAAGAGATCCAGCGGCTGACTGCATGTCCATCCCCATTCCGAACTTGCCCCTCTCGTTGTCCCGAAACGACCTCCGAAGGGCTCGAAGATCACCGTGTTCGTGAAGCCTTCCGTGGCGGCCTGCTCTGCCAGGGTATAGTTCCGCCGCAGTGCTGCCCAAGTCCGGCTGTCTGCGTTTCGCAACCTCACCATCGTCCTGGACAACTCCTTAGCTCGCCGTAGAGACAACTCCCCACGTTGATCTTCACGACGAATGCCACGTGCTCCAAACTGAACCTTACAGCTCACTTGCTCCACCTCCATCTCGTCATGCCGGTAGTCCGTGTACATCAGGGAATAGGCTGCCTCACGGCCCAGGTAGACGAAGAAGTCATCGTTCACCGATTGACATGCCGGTGGAGAACTCGTGACCGTCTTGTTCTCGAGCTCCAGGTCGTAGGCCACCTTCACCGCATAATGCCGTGTACCAGTCTCTAACAACTCCAGCTCCTGATCCAAAGCTTCAACTCGCATGACCTTCTTCTTCATGAACAACACAGCATCCAACGCCACCAGGGCCGCAATGCTCAGAAGCAAAGGTGTAGTTCCAGTGTCTACTTCTGCAGACTGAACTTGCCCAGGCCTGTTTCCAAGAAATATTGGAATCTTCCACACAGCGACTTTATGACCTGTGCTGCTGCCGTCTGCAAAGTGGAACACCTTGAACCTCTCCGTCTTCTCGCAAGCATAGCCCTCCGGGAGCGATTTCGAATACTCCTCACGCCACTTCCTCGAATGCATACAGGAAGTGCAAGCGGTATCCACCAAGGCCACATGCGATTCGTTGATGCCGGCGCCATCGTCCGTGAGCTGATGATGAACCTTCGTCGCATTTTCTGTGCAACCACCGATTTGTATTTGACCTTCATCTTCATCTGCAGCAAAAGCACATTCCACGTGGTCACGAAGTGCTTCAACGCAACCAAAACTGACTGAATTCTCACCATGCAATTGCCCCCCTCGAACCGCGGGGGCGTCCTTCACATTCTCAAAGACCACCTCGCGGGAACCTGACGGCTCCCGAGACCTTGCCGTTGAGGATGTCCAATCCTTCGAAGAGCGGTCTTGTGAACGAACATCTGGTCTTTGGGAACTGGGAACAGGCAAAGAAGTAGCCACCATCGCTGCGGTTCTGGCGCAGCACCATCGGAGCTGTGCACTTATAGCATGCCATGTCATCCAAAGACTCACCCAGCTCCAAGTCGTCGAGGCCAATCTCCTTCGCCTTCGGCATCTTCTTGTTGTTCTTCGACATGCCAGTCTTCGCCATGCTCGCGTAGGCAGCTGCACCTCGCTCTTGCACTCCACGTTGGGCTCGTAGTACAGGTGGTTCCTGAGATCCCGAAGCCTTGCCCTTCTCGGACTCCATGATGTAGCTTCGAAATATGCCACTGCCTTTTCCACGATCCACCGGAACGCCATCACCATATCCCGACGTCCTCATGCTTTGGGTCTCCTCCACCAGCCTCAAGAACTTGACCGTGCAGTTCTTCTTCGGCACCGCTCCTCCGTTGAACAGCTGTTCCAGGCGGTCGCGAAGGTCTTGCTTCGATCCAGAGGTCTGGATTCCCCATTTCTCACACAAGCTCTGCAACTCGAAGACCTTCAGCGTCTCCAGGTTCTTGGGCACGGCCTTTGCGAAACTCTCAACCTCCATGGTCTCGACGCTCGCCTTGATCTTGGGCCTGATCACCTCCTGCTGGTCGACGATGGAACGACCGAGTGATGTGGTGGTAGTAGCGACGGTGGACTCCGGATGATGGTAGTTGTTGCTCCTCGGCATCGGTGTCTCACTCACCTTCTCCCAATCCGTGGAATCAGCGTAGGTGTCGGGCTTCTTCCGGCGGTCATCCAGCTCGGTGTAGCCAGCGTCCTGATCCATGCCACCCTTCTCATCGTCGTCCTCCGTGGTGTGAACCATCATGCAGTAGGCCTCTGTCAACACCAACTCCGCCTCGTCTTCATCTAAGTCCTCCAGAGAGAAGTAGGTCGGATCGGCAGAGACCCAATAGGCGGACTTACTCAGACTGCCGGATTTGCCCTTGCCTTTGCCTTTGCTCTTGCCCTTGCCACGATGAGGACCGGCTTTGCTTGTCTTGGGACAAGCCGCATCTCCTGCCCAGTGTCCAATCTGATGGCACGCCGAGCACCTGCTCTTGGACTTCTCCCGCTCGATGAGTTGCCGCCGTTCATCTCCGCCACCAGAAGCCTTGTAGAAGCCGCGGGACTTCTGAACGTCACGGAGCTTCCGGCGTGCCTCTTGATAACTCGAGCGGTTCTTGTTCATCACCGCGTAGGCCTCCCCGACGTCACCATCTTGGGAAGCTCCACAATCGGACTTCTCCTCGTACTGATCCTCCTCCTGCACCTGCATTGCCTCTTCTTCCCAGTCTTCTCCCTCGTACTCGCCATTCTCCTCACCATACTCATCGTACTCACCGTAGAAAGCCTCCTCGGGTTCTGCCACATCTTCATCCTGAACTGCATACGTCGAGGTTCTGGTCTCCAGGAAGTCTTCTCACGCTCATGCAGGCCGTGGAAGGAAACACGAAGTGACTGCTCAATCCCCTTTCTCTCATAAGCGTTCTTATTTGCCAGCAAAATAGCTCGACGATCTTCACGGGATAAATGGCAGCCCTTGAGCAGGAAGTAGCTCAAAAGATCCTCACTCATGGCCGAAGTCTCATCCAGGTCACAGAGATCCTGCCACGCCTGCAACTTCTTCCGGAGGTATTGATCAATTGGCTCGCCTCGTCTTCGAACGGCGTGTTCGAAAAAATGATCAAATGCTTCTGTCTTGCGGATGATGCCCTCCTTCTCAATCTGCTGCAGTGCGGTAAAAATCTCTTTGTAACCATCTACTTTCTTCAACTTCGCGGGCTCCAGGACCAAAGGCTCCACGGTCTTCCACGCTTCGCCATGTAGGCAATTGACCAACTTCAGAGCAAACCTCTTCTGCTTCCGATCCAAATCTGCTGCCTCCTTTTCTGGTGAGTCGCCTTCGCCCTCCAGGGTTGCGTACGCGAACAACACTCTACGGCGGTACTCCTTCATCAAGCTCGCCACTTCGCCTGTATAATGCAGAATACCATCCTTGTCGACAACAATCTCTGCATCAGACCAAAAAGGTTTGCCTCCTCCAGTCGCGGGCGCGGATGCCATGGAGCACCAGCTCCGCTACCAGTGCGAATGCGCAACTGGCAGCGTTGGGCTCACTTTTCCTATATTCACTCACGAATGCTCCAAAGGTGAAACATGCGAATGAAACACAATCTGCGTGTCATCTGATCTGATGTCCTGCTATCTGTTCTGCTGCTACCATGTGAAGTGGGGTTGTGCCGTGCGGGCCGACAGCATGCTCTGGGCTATGAAGCCACCGCTTGCTCGGGCCAGCCTTGATGCACATGCACTGATCCCAAATCCATGCCAAAGTCAATCCATGCTCCTAGGCTGGTAGACCTAGGCGATTCTCACACTCAGTAACATGTTGCGCATGGTTGGCTCCGGATCGCTGTGCAATCTTCAGATGCCAAGAGAAAACAGTTTGGAACTTGGAGAGGTACATCTGGGAATGGACGCGGCAATCAAGCATGACTTCGCGAGCCAGGCCTGACTGCAGGCCCGACAAGAAATGTTTAGCATCAGGCCAGTGCACTTTCGCAGCACACTTATGCGGCCTTACTTCGCCATTGTTTGCCTTACGCGGGGAGGCCCCCATGACTCCCCTTCAATCGTAACGCAAAGTAGTCTTGAACCTGCTGAAGTATTCTCAAAAACGCAGGCAGGTGCAGGAGGATGTCTTCTCAAAGGTTATGTTGATGTTTGTTTCTTCATTTATTTTTTCCGATGGGCGTGCCAGGAAGGTCTGTGGCAAATCACACAGCGTTCCAGCCTCAGAGGGTCTTGATCTTTCGGTGAGGCAGCTGTTCATGACAAAGACCATGGCCTAGCCAGGTCAAAATCCCATGGCAGTCAACCAGAGAAACAAAGATTGAGGAAGTGGAGCATAGCACTCAATCTGAGGCAACATGCGTCAGTGCCAGCCGTACGGCAAGTCAACTCTTGACCATGTGGAAGGTCAAAACTTTGTGACCTATAGCAACGAAACGAGGTTTCCTCACGAGCCCTGTCTCACATCTTCTGACTTGTCCCAAGGACCCGAAACCCAAAGCTCCATCTTTTGGAACCTGGACGAACCGCGGACCGACAGGACAACCAAAAGGTCTAGCTGTACCTTAACCATGCTCTTCAGGGATCCTTCTCTCCAAAAAATGCCCACCCCCTGGGAAAATAGGTGGTTTCTCAAAAGAACGATGGGTGAAGAGAATGGTTGGAATAAACACTGAGACCTGTGCGTAAAGGGTCCATCCCGTTGTTAGGGAGCCTGCGGGGTTTCTCCAAAAACATTGGCCCGAATCCATTTTAGAACAGGTCCAAAGCTCAGTCTTTGTTTTGGAACCTGGGCGAACCGTGGACTGAAACAGGAAAACCAAAAGGTCCAAAGCTCGAGACTCGCCCAAGGTTCTTTGTTTGCCACCTTTTGTGAGAAAACTGACCCCCTCTCAAAAAAGAATCCTTCACTACGAAGGAGTCGATCATTTTTCCGCGAAAGCCTGGCAACAAGACCCCCTTCTCGCTGGTTGGAATATTTAGGAAGAAAATGTCAAAAGTTCAAAAGGTCAACAGGAAAACCAAAAGGAACCCTTTTTTGGAACCGAAACAGGAAAACCAAAAGGTCCAAAGCTCGAGACTCGCCCAAGGTTCTTTGTTTGCCACCTTTTGTGAGAAAACTGACCCCCTCTCAAAAAAGAATCCTTCACTACGAAGGAGTCGATCATTTTTCCGCGAAAGCCTGGCAACAAGACCCCCTTCTCGCTGGTTGGAATATTTAGGAAGAAAATGTCAAAAGTTCAAAAGGTCAACAGGAAAACCAAAAGGAACCCTTTTTTGGAACCGAAACAGGAAAACCAAAAGGTCCAAAGCTCGAGACTCGCCCAAGGTTCTTTGTTTGCCACCTTTTGTGAGAAAACTGACCCCCTCTCAAAAAAGAATCCTTCACTACGAAGGAGTCGATCATTTTTCCGCGAAAGCCTGGCAACAAGACCCCCTTCTCGCTGGTTGGAATATTTAGGAAGAAAATGTCAAAAGTTCAAAAGGTCAACAGGAAAACCAAAAGGAACCCTTTTTTGGAACCGAAACAGGAAAACCAAAAGGTCCAAAGCTCGAGACTCGCCCAAGGTTCTTTGTTTGCCACCTTTTGTGAGAAAACTGACCCCCTCTCAAAAAAGAATCCTTCACTACGAAGGAGTCGATCATTTTTCCGCGAAAGCCTGGCAACAAGACCCCCTTCTCGCTGGTTGGAATATTTAGGAAGAAAATGTCAAAAGTTCAAAAGGTCAACAGGAAAACCAAAAGGAACCCTTTTTTGGAACCGAAACAGGAAAACCAAAAGGTCCAAAGCTCGAGACTCGCCCAAGGTTCTTTGTTTGCCACCTTTTGTGAGAAAACTGACCCCCTCTCAAAAAAGAATCCTTCACTACGAAGGAGTCGATCATTTTTCCGCGAAAGCCTGGCAACAAGACCCCCTTCTCGCTGGTTGGAATATTTAGGAAGAAAATGTCAAAAGTTCAAAAGGTCAACAGGAAAACCAAAAGGAACCCTTTTTTGGAACCGAAACAGGAAAACCAAAAGGTCCAAAGCTCGAGACTCGCCCAAGGTTCTTTGTTTGCCACCTTCTGTGAGAAAACTGACCCCCTCTCAAAAAAGAATCCTTCACTACGAGGGAGTCGATCATTTTTCCGCGAAAGCCTGGCACCACAAGACCCCCTTCTCGCTGGTTGGAATCAATCCTTAGGAAGAAAATGTCAAAAGTTCAAAAGGTCAACAGGAAAACCAAAAGGAACCCTTTTTGGGAACCGAAACAGGAAAACCAAAAGGTCCAAAGCTCGAGACTCGCTTCGGGTGATTGCTTCCTGATCCTCGCCTGTGCGGCGGCCTCCGCCGCCAGGCTCCGCGCCACAGCGGAGCGCTGGCACCTGGGAGGGGAACTGAGGGTTCCAACGGGTACTCAGTGCCAGGGGTACAATTCTAGGGGTAACTTCCCCATTCTTTCAGGGATCCTTCTTTCTAGAAAACCACCAAAAACCCTGGGGAAATGGCTAGTTTTTGAAAAGAACGCTGGCCGAAAAGAATGGAAGAGAAATCACCCCTTAGAACAATGAACACCTGGTGCTGGGTCCAAAGCCCATGGAATCAAAAGGGTGGAAAGCCGCACTAGCTCAAGAATCAAAAGGGTAGGCCGCGCCTACTTCTAGCTGGGACTGTCCATCCTACCCCGAGGATTGACTGCCCAGATACCTCGAGCATTCCTTACCGCTTTCTGGTGCCCTAGGCGCAGAAATTGGGCGCGGGCCCTCAAACGAAGTAAAATTAGGTGCAAATGAGTTCGGTACTTCTGATCCCGACCACAACGTCTCCCTTCACTAAAACAATGGCTGATAGTTGCCTTCCCATCTAGATTTGGTGTAGCAGTCTCTGCACGTAGCCATAAAAAGCAGGCGTGTGTACAAGGCTCACCTGGCCAGCGAGCCTCTGCCAACACATCGGCATGAGGATTTCAACTTATCCAACAGCCCCTACCCACTGATCTTGATCTCCCCCAAAAGCGATTCCTGACATTTTTTTCAAGGCGCAGGAATGCCAGCACGCGGCCCATGAGGGATGCTTCCTCGAGAACCTCAGCTCCAAGGAATGATTCTCAGTTGTCCTCGATGTGGGTCCGCTCGGAACGGGACGCGCCCGCAACTGTCAGAATCTAAGCAATGACCTGAGGCCCTTGTTTGGATATTTATGTCTCATAGCTGCTGCCCCAAAAACTTTGATATGTTGCAGACCGACGAAGCAATGTGGGTGGCCGGGATGTGCAAGGATAGTTTCTCAAGAAGGCAGCAGCCAGCCAAAAGATTTAGAGCAACTGCATGAGCAACTTGAGAAGCGCACAGCCATGTGTCCACTTTGTAGTGATGTCTGGAAGACGAAGCAGAACCGCTTGTTGTAGACCTGACGGGCAGAATGACTGTGTATTCCAATCAAAACCAGAAATCTACATAAGATCATGTGAAGAACCAAAGAGGCGAAGACTGTTCAGGTGTCCGTTGATCGCTTGTCTAGCTTCGGTGTGTTTGCATCCAAAACACTTGCTGCCCGTGACGGTTGTACAATGCCCGAGGCCAATCTTCACAGGAAGCCACACCTGCCTGCAAAAACACCTCGGCTTCTTCCGAAGTGGCACCAGAGGCCAGAATGGTAGCCACCAAAAGCAGAACCTGGCTTCGACTGACCCGGAGATCGGACATGCCGGTTCGGTGTTCATCTGGGATGCATCTCAGATTCAGGTTTTCTGGGTGTATCATGGGCTTCTTCGCGGCGTTGAAACAAGGGCATGTTCGCTTGTGCAATGATATTGTCCAAAGGGGCGCAAACACCAACAATATAATGAATAAGTATCTTTGCATAAGAGCCCGCGTCTTTGCACTTGAGCCCCTAAAATCTCTCCCTGCGCCTGCAGTCTTGAACAGGGCAGCCAAAGGTCAAGTCTTTGGCGCCGTTTCCAAAAAAAATGAGTTAAGCGCTTATGCGGGGGTTAAGTCTAGCCTTAGTAGTCAAGAAGTGGAAACCCTGTTGGAACCAGCATGGCCACTTCTCGCGCATGTGAACCCGGGCCCCCAGCACGGCACCAGGCGCTGTGCGCGGGCCGCCGCCAAGTGACCCACTGCCGCTCCTTGGATGCAAGCGACGCTGGATGGTCTTTGGTCGAGGGCAGCCTTGCTGGGGTTGCTTTAAAAGGAAACCAAAGAAAAATCGCTCGTTTTGGGGATTTCCTCATTTGGCGACAACTCCAGATATTCCAGATGAAGAAACTTCTGCGCGTGCACTCTCTCTTTCTCTTTCTCTGCACGCGGCCGACACCAAGGACGCACTGTCAAAGGTGTTCGATGGCCTCAGTGCTTCAATCGCACTGCTGCGCTCCCGAGACTGATCTTCCGCACAGGCCCTCTCTTCAGGCCAGCAAAGCGTCCGCTTTGGGGAAACCCTTTCTGGCTGGTGCTTAAAGAGCAACCAAATACATACAAATACATACAAATACATACAAACATGCATTTTGGCCCCCCCAATTTTGGGGGGGCCTAAGCCAAACCAGTAGCCCAACTCTGAGGCCCCAGCACCATGTAGGGCGAATCTGTGTTCAGAACCTTGCCGAGTCCGTCAATCGGATCCCCCACTCGAGCGTCTCTTGGACAGGTGCAGCATCTGTCGAAATCATTGGGTGCTCTGAGGCGATCACAAAGTGCCGAAGCAAAGGGCAGTAGGCCTCAGCCGAAAAAATCCTCGAGAATATGGATCTTCTTTTTCTGCGGCTTCTGCGCTGATCCGACTTGGGGAGTTTGGGGGCTGTGGCTTCGGGACTTCAGGCGAAGCCGGCTCGGCAACTCCTGGCCGAAATGGCCATGCAGGAGCCCGGCCAGCAGGACGAAGACCCTCTGCTCCACTAGCAGAGCAGCTCCCGAGGGCGTCTGTGCCACCTTCCGAGCTTCATGTTCGAAAAGCAAACAGTTGGCAACGTGAAATGGTTCTCAAGCAATCGAAGGGACTTCCCACGAAACGGTTCCCAAGCAAACAGTTGTGTGCTTTGAGGAAGGCTTTGCCATTTCAAGGGAGCTGCAAGTTGGGATTGGCACGGTGCGGCGGCTGGGAATGGGACAAACGCACCTTTTTGCGCATGTGGCCGCACTGCGGAGATGTGCATGCGAAGCATATGAGAGGCGCATGTCACGCAAGACATGCTAAGCCCAAATTCGGAGCAAGCGGACACACCCAAAAAGCTGCGATTCCAAGGGTCCCACTCGCAGCAGCAGGCCCAGCAGAGATTCCAAGCGGCAAGCCCAGGAAGCCTCAGATTTGCGGAAAAAAGTCTTCGATCTGCTGCCAAGCGGACCAAAAACTCCGCCTCAGGCCCCGTCCTCGCTGGCTCGCTGCCACATGGATTGACTCCCCTTGCGATTCGCGGGCAGGCTGCTTGATATTGGCTTGTCTTGAGTCAGCGGGTGTCACTAGCACGCCATCGTAATCTAAGTGCACGTTCTTAGCTCGGAGACAGCAAAGCTTCCAGATCACAGCGCACTTTGAAATTGTTTGAGTCTCAGAAGACTGTAAGCGCTGGGCTCGCAAATGGACTTGGCTCGAATCACCTCGGACAAGAAACATGATCTCGTAGCAGTTGCCCACTCCACCGGCCGTTCAGGCAGGGCGTGCGTTTTCCAATGCCGACATCTGATCTACACACCGCGATGGAGTTCGCTCCACGCGAACTCCTGCACAAAATATGTCATTTGACGAGCGCGTCAAAGCTTCGCGCCGGTGAATTGGAATGCTATCGCGCTTCGCAAGGGTTCCAGGCGGTCTCGTTCGATGCATCTGCCAAACAGCTCCGCCAGTACTTCCTCCCCGACGCGCTGGTAAGCCACTGTGCTATGGTCCAAGGACTGCAGGCACCTCGCAGGTGCTCAACCTCAACCTTGCAATGTTATGTGGGGCGTTGTGTTGGGCCAGAAGACCTCTCGCCCCATTCGACCCCTTTCTCTTCTGGTCTTTCATCACCAACGCCCCTTGCCTTTCGGTGAGAACCGCCTAGGGTAGCCTAGACACACTAGCCGCCGGCATTTCAAGAGGCCTTCCCGGTGCAAACAAAACTCGGTCGCCAAAACCGCATGCGTCGCATGGCGCTTTTCGATGGGTCTGGGCCTCATGTCTCATGACGGTCTCATGGGTCTCATGGGTCCCTTCCTTCCCCAGGGATCCTTACATTATATACCTTTATTTTGGTGGAAAAAGCCATGTTTCAACTGGTTGCAAAATGTATCTTTTAAGGAGCCCTGTTCCCGCGCCTGGGTTGAAGGGAAGCATCTTCTTCAGGTCCGCAGCGCGGGGCGTGGCAGCAGGCTGCGCAGTGGGGTTGCCGATGGTTGAGGACCACACCGCAGCCGCGAACTTGGAGCAGAACATGGCCTGCAAGGGCTCATGTGGTGGCTCAAAAGCCAAATCGGTTAGCCCCCAGTGAACATCAACCAATCCAACCACTAAAATAGACTAATTTGGGTGGTGCGCCTAGCCCAAAATGGTACCATTGGTTTTGACCCACAGCCATGTTACCAACCCAGCTGGTGTATTCCACCCCCCAGTGAACCAAGTGAGTCACAATCAAAACCCGGTATTAATATGGTTGACCCAGCACCGTGTAAAAGATTAAGAAGGTGACCCGGTATTAATATGGTTGACCCAGCACCGTGTAAAAGATTAAGAAGGCGGCCGGAGCCACAATCAAAAACCCGGGTAGATGAAGGTTAGGAAGGGACAATCCCGAGCTACTTGTGGTTGGGATTGTCCCTTCCTAACCTTCATCTACCCGGGTTTTTGATTGTGGCTCAAGTGGAGCCCTCTTCAAACGCTGTTCCCTTTGGAAGGGTTCCAATTTTTGGCCCACCCTGCTCGGAACCCGTTCAGGGCGTGTCCCAAAAACGGAATGAAACCGACTGGAACTGAATCCTTTCGTGCTGAAACTGAACGAAGCATGGGAAACAAGTTGCATGACCCTTGGGAAATTTGCTGGCAGGAGTTGTTGCAAGGCTCATTACACCACAAGTACCGTAGCTTCCATAGTTGCTGCCAGCCGCAGCAGTCTGCAGTGCCCACCGTTTCTAAAACAGCGCCAAGTATGATACGCTGTCGTCCAGGTGGCTTTCAAACGAATTGGACCGAGACTCCCTTGCGAGCGAACAAGCATTGTTTCAGCGAGTTGGGCGGGCCGTCAGATGGGCTGGATCGTTTTTAAGTCTTATCAAAAAGTCGTTTCTTTCTGGCCGCTCAGATTCAAGTTCGCATCCCTTGCCTTCGGCTTCACTCGGACGGTCGCATTTTCAACATCCTTGTGGGTGCGGAAAGAGTCCTTGATACCCTCATAGAAGCCGGATTCCGCATTTTCTGGCGTATCCACATAGTCCCACATCTCTCTCACCTTCTCGTCGGTCACTGCTTGGAAATAGTCATCTTGCCCAGGAGTTCCGAAGATGCTGAGGCACTTGCCCACCGCGACACGATGCCACTGGCCCACCGTGTCTGCATAGTGCTGCAGGTATGGCTTCCACATCTGGGCACGGGAAGCGGTCAGGGACCGATAGTTGCGTGCATTAATTGTGCCATCGCCCACAAAGCGCGAGATGATGATCTTGCCAGCTCTGACGGGCTTGTTGCGATAGTCGCTGCACAACCGGCTGCCCATGACTCCCGCATCACTGTATGCTGACATCAACTGGTTTCTGTCCACTCCTAGCTCCGTGTGCGTGAAGTGAACGGCGCCTGTATGCTTGGTGGTTTGCCTCTGGCTTCCATACACGGAGGTGATGCCTGCACCAGTCCAAGTGAAGAACTTGCCGAACACGAGCCCGATGTTCCACAGCAGATCCACCACGCCCTTGCCCAAGTTGATGCCCGCATCCGCGAAGATCTTGCCTACCTGCCCAATCACCCAAACTCCAAGCGTACCTTTGGATTGTTTTGGGGGCCCAGGTTGAAACGAGTGTTTTTTCTTTTTTCTGGAATTGTTTTCATTCTGAAAGAAGCTGAATCTAGAAACAACCATCTGGGAAATGTCGAAAGGGCGCGTCTACAACGCGTCATACGTAAGGTGGGTGTGAATTGTCTGAGGAATCCTTTTGGTAGACATTGTGTATATGGGGGAGTATACGTCCACAGTTTTGAGGGGCCCATTGGAAAAATCAAAGATTTCATAGCCAGGTGAACTCAAAAATCCAAAGCGATCAGGTCGCAGACCTGGCTTGCTTTGATTTCTCAAAGTCGGATCCTTTGAGGCCCTGCCTTCACCGCCGTGTTGGCAGAATGCTTCCATATGAGTTCGAAAATCCGCTTGGCTTTGCCTGCAATGCTGCGGTTCTTCCACTCCACATCCGTGCTGGTATTGAAGGTGTTCCTAGGTCAGAGACGCTCTTAGCTACAAGAAGATGCAACCGACTTTTATTCGTCTGGCAGAGGGTTCTTGTCCAATAATACTCCTTGTGCAACGGAACAAATGCAACTTTCTTGTGGCAATCTGAACCAACGGCTATCCAGCTAGCAACAGTAAGAATCCGACTCTGGATCGTATTGAGCTGGATCTCAACGGCATGCCAGTTGAGTGCACTTCATTTCTGCCATTTGCGGTGCAAAACGAGCGAATTGAACCTAGCCCTCCAGTTGTGCCAGCGTTTCATCCTCATGGTAGTGCTCAGCTTTAGCATTTGCCGTTTGCGCAAGAATGCACCCGAGAAGACCAGTGCTTTTGTTCTTGGCCAGGCATCTGCTGCACAAGTTCTCTCTGCAACTCGAGACTCGAGACTCGATGACTTGGATTTGAGTTTCGGACTTCTCAAAAGACGGCTCCCCGAGGTGCAAGCCCGCCGACTCAACGAGGCCCAAGTCCGGGGAAGGGACGGCGCCGGGCGAAAAATGAGGCTTGCTCATGGCTTCGCCGAATGGCCGAATGGGGCCCCGAATGGAGCAAAGAAATGGTTCAAGGACACCAATATATAATATAATGGAAGAGGGTGCAAAACAAAAGGGGACGAGCAGAGTCGGCATGGGAATCATCACGGCGTGCAACATGAGATCTCGTGCCTCTGCAGCTGCGCAGCTATTTTCTTCCAAGGTGCTCATAGCTGAAGTGAGCTCCATAGCCTTAGTGATAGCCCGAAAGTGAGGCCAACAAAGAGCAAGACCAGGCCAGGTCTACATGAATGCTGCGACTAGTCGAGTGTCGAAAATGCATCTGTAGCTTCAATGCGTCACTATTGGCCGCAAAATCTGAAATCACTGATGAAATCTCCGCGAAGTCTGGACCGCCTTGCTCAAAGGAGAGGATATCGCCAGCCTACAATGCTACATGCCGTTCAACAACTCAAGAGAGTTAGTTGCTCAGCTGCTACCCGGTCAGCGATCTCTCTGCAACCGCGTTGTGTCTTCACCAACGGCATGTACTGAAAGCCCTTAACTACAACCTTGCAACAAAACAGCCAAGGACAAACGTTGACGGCAATGGCTGAACATGCTCGCAGTATGGGCATGGCTTCAGGTACAAGACTCATTCTCTCCAATGGATACAAAACTGGCTTGTTCAAGTGTGGCCTTTAAGCAATGTCCATCTTCTGAGAAGAATCGGATACAGAACCATAAAACACGAGTTGTCGCCTCCACAGCGAAGTCCCTTGGGCAGGCTGGGAGTGGCGTTCCGTCGTCCGCCTTGGTGAGTTTGCTTGAGGCATGCTGCACCATGAGGGGTAACGCTGGCCAGTCCACTTCCTCCCACTAACAGCAGCTGTGTGAGGCATACAAACGGGAATTGCAAAATACAAATTCCACCAGCGCAGACCCCAGTCTTGCAAAAAAAAATGCGCCCACAGCGTCACCAGCACCCCAAAACAACATGCACCAGCACCCCAAACACCCCAAACTGCATGCGCCCATCAATCTGGCAAATCATGTTCCCCTCTTTATTTGAAGCTAGAACACCTGTAGCTTTCAGCTATCTGGGGACATACGTCAAGGTCCAGTTGGGCCAGAGCTGCAAAATCGTCCTCTTTTGCCAAGACGTCGGGCGCCAGCCTTTCTGTGACGCGCTTCTCCAGCTCGTCAAGATCCTCCCTGTACTTGTCCTTCTTCTTGGGCTCCATTCGCTCCACAAGCTGGATGAGAGCGGCAAGATACACGTCCAGCTCCTAACCGAGAATTCTGCCCTAGTGGGCCTCTCGACTTCAGTCGGCATAGCAAACAGCACACAATCCAGCTTGGAAAGCAGTTCCCAGTCTCAACTTCCGTCGGCTGAACCCCTAACAGCACACAATCCAGCAAGGAAAAAGCATTTCCCAAGCCCGGTGTCCTTCTCCAGGCAGTTTGTGCTCAAAACTTTCACGATGGGCTCCATGCTCGAGGCGTGCCCCCAGAATTTAAGTGTGCTCTGCTTGGAATAGCCGCGACCTTGGAGTCTCCTTAGATCGGCTCTCTGGTCCCCCCTGTGCTCTCTGTTCCAGGTTCAGTCCCAACCCTGAACCAGCCAGCAGCCAGCAGCCAGCAGCCAGCAGCCATCATTATCATCATCATCATCATCATCATATCATCAACATCATCAACATCATCAACATCGTCGTCGTCGTCGTCGTCGTCGTCATCATCATCATCATCATCATCATCATCATCAGCAGCAGCAGTAGCAGCAGTAGCAGCAGGAGCAGCAGCTGCTGCTGCTGCTGCATCATCCAAAGCAGCTTCATCATTAGCATTGCGCCCATCCGAAGCAGCGTGAATAGCATCGGCAGCTTCAGTATTCTGGTCATAACCATCATCACCAGCCTTATCACCATCCTCATCACCATCCTTCTCAGCATCCTTGTCATGAATATCATCTTCCTGATTCCTATCGGTGGCATCATCGTCACCATCCCAACCTCAAGCCCAGCCTCTCGACGTACTGATCACATTGGCCATTGCTGGTGTCCGTTGTGAGGTTGAGCCAGCGGCAAACAGACTTGCAGCCCACCTGCGCGGTGTTTCCCTCCTGGCACTCCACCGCTGGTCGAGCCTGGCTCAAGACGGGCAATGAGGTCAAAACTTCCTGTTCCCAAGTCGCCTTGCTAGGCACAAAGAGACACTGACAAATCAATGCGCAAAGACATAGACATAGACATGGACACAACCACAAACACAAACACGAACACACACGCACACACACACACACACAGACACACACAGACACACACAGACACACACACACACAGACACACACAGACAC